AGTCAAGGTAAGACTCCATTAGCTTTAAGAAACTATATGCAAATCCAAACCAACTTAATTTACATAAAAGAACATGATGATCAATGGAATTAAACGCACAAGAAAAATCAGTATAGACGACATCGACTTGTCCATTCTTATCTATTTGTTGTGAAATGAATTGACTTATTATAGCTAAATTAGTGATTGTAGATCGTCCAGGTAAAAATCCATGTTGATGTATAGAGATGAGGCTTTTAACATTGTGATAAATATTTCTATAAATGAGTATCTCAAAAATTTTAGCAAAATTCGAAAGTATAGAAATAGGTCTGTAGTTTTTTATCATAGAAGCATCACCTTTTTTGTATACGGGAGTAATTCTGGCTATCTTCCAAGTGTCAGGGAAGGTGGATGATTTTATAGCTAAGTTAAAAATTGTAGTAAGAGGTCTAGCCAATGCGAATCTTGTGTCACGTATAATAAAACTAGGTATTAGGTCATCACCAGCAGTTAATTTGTTAGGGAAAGATGACATAACAGACAAAACTTCTTCTTCAGAAACATTTTGCATTATAAAGGAGGAATTATTTGTGACATCAGTAAGTGAGACATCAAGTTTGGATTTGTACATTCTTGAAAAATTTTCTGCAAATATATCTACTATTTGTTGAGGATGGTCATATTCATTTCCATTATGTGACAGTTTCCCAGGAATGCGAGTCGTACCTTTTTTTGCCTGAGCATATTTCCACATATTTTGAGGACAGGTATACAACGACTGCTCAATTAAACTAAGGTAAGCTTGATAAGCTGAATTTATTAACTGCTTGCAAATAGCCCGAAGTCTTTTAAACTCACTATGATAAAACTCACTAGATGTTTTTTTCCATTTCTTCCTATAATAATCTTTCAGTTTCAAAGTGGATATTAAATTCTTATTAAACCAAGAAGGGTACGTTGATTTAACTACATGAAACTGAGGAACAGAAGAGTGTAAGATACTGTATAATTTATCGTAGAAAAGATTCACACAGGCATTCACGTCATTGGTAAAGCTTAAAGAAGACCAGTCAGTAGCAAGAATATCATTATATAAATTTACGTAATTAGCTTTCCTGAAATTATATCTTAAGTTGTTACCAGATGGAAAATTACTAACTTTTGCAGAGGTGGGAAATTTCACAATCATTGACAAAGAGGGATGGTGTATATCTTCTGGTACAATTGGGTAATTTTCATGAGATACGTTAACTGAACCATCAAAATTTGACAAGATTAAGTCCAAAAGTCTGTTGTGGGTATTAAACATGGAATTATGCTGAATAAAATTTAGGGAACTGGAAAAAGTTGAAAATACGTGGTTGTTACTGCCTGGTGTATTATAAGTTAAATTATTGTTAAAATTTGCCAAGTTAAACTCTCCAATAAACAGTGTGGGCTTGTTCAATAATAATGTTTCCAGAGTTTCAAAAAATGACTCAAACTGACTACATGAGATATTTGGAGGAATATAAACAGCTGCTAAATAAAACTGAAAAGTATTACAAAAACAATTACATACAATCAAGTCTATAGCGGGTACTAATTCTGCAATACTCGTCGTGTCTACTACAGAATATGTAACAGTTTTGGAAAATAAAATTAATACTCCACCACCAATAATTCGATCAATTATTGAACATTTTCTATCATTTCTGATAACATTATAAAAAGATGGACACAGTTCAGAATTAAGAAACGAATCATTTAGCCAAGTTTCCGTTATAATTATTACATCAAAAAAACATTCAGATACATTTTTATAAAACGATTGGAGTTTAGACCTTAATCCACGCACATTTTGGTAATATATTTCAATCGAAGCCAGTGACCTGTTAGGCGAAGTTAGTTTAACGAAGAAACAATGTTAGGAATTCCATTTTTGTAATTGATCCGCAGATTAGATTCCCCATTAGCCAGACGTTGATGCAGTTCATTTCTAATGTTACGATGGATTTCTAACTGCATTGGTGTGCGATCTTTCGATAGATAAATGTTTTTTCAGTTGTTAGAGGTCTTTAATTGTTTTGAAGCTCGTAGAACCAACATAACAGAATTTTCAGAATGCAGTGTTACTCTAATTGGACGACGTCTATCATCTTTGGTTACATCAAATTTTCCAAGTCTGCTAATTTTTAAATTGTCCGTATCATTAATACCCAAACTCGACAACATATCTTTAACAAAGACCGTATCAACATTCAACTGCTCAGCATTAGTTTTACACTTTCCTTCAGTACATTCGTAAATAATTACATTATTCTTGCGTCTCTCCCTTTCCGAGACCTCATTGACAATTTTCTCGGTTTCAATCAAAGAAAAAGTTGTAGACTGAACCGGTGTGGAGACTTGAGTCTTCAAAATTTTGATTTCATCCTGCAACGCAACAATTGCAGCTTTTAAGCCGTTTATATCGTTACCTAACTGAGCACACATTTTGCACGTCCATGATAGGCCAGATTTCTGATGAATTTTTCTCGCTTCAGTATTCGTTACATCAACGCAATCTATTTTATAAGATTTGCTACATATACAACAATTGACAATTTTATGAGGTTCAGCACTTTTGCCACAACAAGTACAAAGATTCATTATCTTAAGTTGATACTAACTGGAAATGACACGGACACACTTTTCAGCGAACATACTAGTTGGCTCCGGCGGCTACTTTTGAATCTTAAGCAACAGGTAAATTGGCTCCGGACTAATAGGTAAATTGGCTCCCGCCAGATGCATGTACTAGTTGGCTCCCATCTCCTGCTGCCTGCATGACGGGTAACGCAGAACTGTGGTTGTTTTCACAAAACCTAATATCTAATGCCAACTGAAAAATTAAATTTCATTTAAAGTTGTTATTTATAATTTTATTCGTTCATCATTGCAACGATAAGTATTTAAGAAAAACAACACATATATGTTCGAACTATTACCCCTAATAATTTTAACAATTTATTTACTATTGCTTGGTAAATACATATTTTTTTATTTTTGTTAGTATTGTATTTTGCTGCAAAAGATAAGGTAAATATAAACCAAAACAAAATTGCTGAGCTTCTGTCTGTTTAATTTTGAAGTTTCAGTCGCTTCGTGAGTATGTTCACCACTTTGTTCTATTATTCGAAGCATTCGTCTTGATGTACATACGATTTACAGCCACGTTTTACACACTGCCAACGTATAACACTTTGAGCTAACACTTTATGAAAATTATATTTATAATTATTACCCAATTAACAGAACTGTTTTCCCTTTTCCACTAATCATTTCGTCCAAACAGTCCATTTTGTAACAATTATCTTAAGCGCTTGGGCACAAGAAAGTTTAAGAAAAAACTGATATTTTTCGACCGGAAATTTTGTGTTTGTGTTGAATGGGCATTTTCGACCAGTGCAGATAGTAATAAAAGTATAGAAATATTTACTCTCACCGTAACGATTGTTATCCTCTTACTTCAAAGACCCCGCAAATCTGGGAAATACCAGAAAACCCCTTTGTAACTACCTTACCGCCACCACTTTCTAGACATAGAAATTTGATGACTATGGAATTATATGTTCCTGTAATTCAAACAACACATCTCTTCCGACAGCAGGAAATAACGTATCTGCAGATGATCCCCTCACCGTAGGAGGTACCATAAAATCTACCTTCCTTGCACCATCGGAGCCAATTTACCTATACCCATTTTTCGGCAGAGGGTCAAATACCGTCCGCCGGAGCCAACTAGCATGTACCCACTTTTCACGCTAACGCTGTCTTCGCCTGTTTGGGTTTCTTTCAGGAGAATTCGAGGATATTTTTTGCGACAGCTACATCCTTTCATACACGGGAACACAAAATTGGTATACTGAAGTGAGAAATATTCTGATAATTCGTGACATAAAACACAACCGTCAACGCCGTTTGGTCTCATGCGTCCGACCGCAGACCCCGTTCGCGTCGCAGTCGCTTACTCGGTGACGTCGCGCCCTCCCTATTTCCATACAACTTCTTAAATTTCAAACGCTTAGGACTGATTTTTCAAATAATCCTACCACGTCTAATATGCGAAAAATATATTTAACTATTTTAAACTTTGATTTTTAACCAGATATAAAAAAGTTTTGAAGTGCTTACATTTTTCACAAAGAGCATTAAACCTAGAAATCCGCTCTCTAATTATAATTAATTTTATAAAACAAGATATTCCTTGCATATGTACTGTACGAATCCGTATTGAGTTTTTACCCTAGCCATCCATTTTACAATTCAAATTTGAAACTCCAAAATCAAATGTTCTGAAAACAAGCAAACGTTTTAGGGTTATAGGAAACATGATAAATCGTTAATGAAAATTAATTCGTTCATTGGCTTTACCTTCACCTTAGAATTGTCCTGTTGTTGCATATTGTATTTCGTATGGAAAATTTTGACTTCCTGGATACCTACTGTTACAGTTCTTATCAAAATTTGCCCCGTTTTTTCCAGACATTAGGATAATTTCACCTTACGCTTATCGTTAAAACTGACTTAAGAGTCTATTTTTGTTTTTTATTTTACCATTATTTTACTATAATAATAGTCAATTGCTTCAGCCTTCACACTACATGCAAGTGGCTCTATATATAAGTATATTCAAATCTTATTCACACATTACATGACCATAAACTGCCAAGTTAAACAATATATTTTGCAAAACGATAGTAACTGTCGTAAGTATTTTCTGTACGGCTTAAATGGACTACTACAAAACAAAGAAAAAATCAGTTAATCCGGAGAAAAACAGACACTGGTTTTGGAATTTATTTTTCTTGTAAATTAACAATCAACTCCAAAAAAAAACTTGAATTATGCAAGTAATTATGAATTTTAGATATACAAAAAATACATTCATCAAGGGATACAAAACAGAGCTGACTCACAATGATATATATGAAGTGCTTCCCGAACATAAGTCAAAAACATTAGGAGATAAATTAGAAAAGGAATGGAAGGCACAAATGGATGAAAATAAGACATCTATACCTAAACTTCTTTGGAAATGTTTTGGCAGACAATATCTTTTAATAATATTCAGCTTGGTCATCCCTGTGACAATAACGTACTTACGATAACGCTTTTAAATTTCCCTGGCTTTTAACCATTTCTTTAGGTTCTTGCAACCAAAGATACTAAAAAAATTCATATCATATTATACACCAGGGCACAACAATCTAAGCAGAACTGATGCGAGCATATATGGACTATTGTTGATCGTAGTTACGGTTATAAGACGACTGCACCTACACAACTTTTTTCTAAGGGTTTCAGAATTTGGGATGAAAATGCGTGCTGGATTCACATCTTTAATCTACAGGCAACTTTTAAGAATGAACCCATCAGTAGTTCAAAGTGGCAAGATGATAAATCTGATAACCACTGATGTGAGTGAATTTGAAGAAGCTGTATCTAAAATTACAGACATGATAAAAGATCTAACTAAGACTGTGGCAGTATGCTGTGTCGTATATTCAGAAATTGGATGGTTATTTCTTTTAATCCCAACGATAATTTTTATTAGCGTGTTCGTCAGCAGTAAGCAGGCAAAAACTAAGATAACCATTTAGACTTTAAATTTTTTCAGCATGCATAGCAGTTTTAGTGCGTAAACTTAAATTGAAATCTTTGAGGAAAACTGATGGAAGATATCAAATGATAAAAGAAGCATTAAGTGCAATAAAAGTCGTCAAAATGAACCTTCAGGAAGACAGTTATGAAAAGAAAATTGCTAAAATAAGAAAGTAAGCAGGTAAACATACGACTGATTTTATATTTGTTTTTCTTCATTTACAGAGAAGAAATTCATCTTGTACGCAACATAAATATATTATTATTTCTAAAATTGATACTTTCTGATTTATTTCACAACGCGTCGTGGTACATAGTTGTAGCAATATCCATATGGTTCAACATCCATTCAACTGCCGGGACTTTATTTCTTATAATACACAGTCTAAATATTCTTTCATTTGGTATGAAAGGCAATTTTCCAGCAGCGATACATGAGGTAGCTACTTTAATTGCGGTATTTAAACGAATTGGAAAAATACTTCGAATTAAGAGTGATGAATCATTCGTGGAAGACAATAAGCTTTCACCAAGAATTCAAATAAATTTACAGATTCATACTGCACATAACTACACACTAATAAATTTGAAAAAGTGTAACATTGCAGGAGGAATAACAGCAGTAACAGGACCCATTGGGAGCGGCAAAAGTCTTCTGCTGAAGGTACTCACAAAACAATACAAAAATGTAACAGGCGATTTAGAAATCGTCGGTAGCATTTCTTACGCATCACAAGAACCTTGGCTTTTTCCATCGACCATCAAACAGAACATCTTATTTGGAAGTGGTTACGACGAAAATCGTTACTTAGAAGTTTTACGAGTTTGTGCTCTACTTGATGACCTAATTTCTTTAAGCGATGGTGATTCTGCTCTTGTAACTGACGGAGGAGCTAATCTAAGTAAAGGACAACAAGCTAGAATAAATTTAGCGCGGGCTGTTTATAAAGAACGTGATATATATTTATTAGATGATTGCCTGGCTAGCTTGGATGCAATTGTTGCAGATTTTGTATTTGAGGAGTGCATTAAAAAATTTTTGAAAGACAAAATAGTGATCTTGGTTACTCCATCCGTAAAGTACGCCTATAGGTCAGACAACGTCATAACAATGAAAAATGGTAAAATGCAAAACTCGCACCCTATCCAATGTAACATCCCAAAAGGCACGGAAACTAAAAGTATGAAATATATTGAAAAAAATAAAGCGAAGAGCGAAGAAAAAAAGTCAACTGCGGAAGAAAACTTTCACGATGAAACTCCACTGATTAAAAACAACACAGAGATCAAAGAACTATACACAGAAACGAAAATAAAAGGAAAGGTTCAGTTCGAAGCGTACAAAAAATATATTAAAGAAAACGGAGGCATGGTCAAAATTTTTTCACTTTTACTCCTCACTGGAATAATTCAGTTTTTGAAAAGTTCCATCAATAAAATGGAATCCGTTTGGTGAGATTAAAATTTGATAATTTCCTCCAATTAACTTGAACTTACAGGATAACTGCGGAACAAGTACTGTTTAACAATGCCACTGAGAAGAAAATCTATATTGAGGCACATGAAAAACGTCACCAAATGCTAATTTTTCTACCTATATTTATTTCAACTGCGACCATATTAATGTTATTAAATACATATTTTTTCTGGGTGCTTGCTGCCAAAACTTCACTAAAGCTTCACAATTTACTTTTCGCTAAGGTGGTTCGCAGTTTTATGAAATTTTTTGACAAAAATCGAATAGGAATTATTTTGAACAGATTTTCAGAAGACATACTGTACATTGATGAAATACTACCCTTGACGTTTTTTGTACTAATGGGTGTAAATGGGCTAATTTTATAAAGTGACTTATAATATTCCTGAATTTTAGTTTTTTGTCGGAACAGTTGGTGTTATTATTCTCATAGCTACAGTTAATGCATGGTTCCTTATTCCATGTATTCTGATTAATGTATTCATGGTATTCGTCCAAATGTTCTACTTAAAAACTGGCAATGCTTTAAAACGACTGGAATTCTTGAGTAAGCATAAAAACATTTTTTTTTTTTTAATGACAACTCTTATAAACTTAGCACGAAGTCCTTTAATTGGGTACATCAATGCTACTTTAGACGGACTGACCACCATAAGGACCTCAAGAATTCAAGATACAATGCGAAAAGAATTTGATCAACATCAAGATTTGCATACTTCCTGTTCCTACATGTACACATGTTGTGAGCATGCATATCACATGATGCTAGCAGCCAACGAAATAATTCTCATGACTTTCGCAATTATCCTTTTTTTAGCACTAGATGACAGTAAACTGAAATGTTGTTAGCCAGTGATACTAATGAACAATATTTTTTTAGAAATGTCAGCAGGAAAAGTTGGACTTGTTATGTCGCAAATATTTAGTTTGTCAACTTCAGAGTATATATTTTATCGTATGATCACTAGATTTGAAAATCAAATGATAACAGTAGAAAGAATTTTGGAGTACACTAAACAAAAACAAGAAAGCAAAGATGGTTTAGTAATCGAACATTGGCCAAAGGAATGTGAAATACGCTTCAAAGACGTGTCCCTTTCTTACAAGAGCGACCAAGACCATGTTTTGAAACATTTAAATTTTGCCATAAAAAATAGACAAAAAGTTGCCATCGTCGGTAGGACTGGTTCAGGAAAAACATCAATGATTTCTACGCTCGTCCGACTTTACGATTTCGAAGGAACCATTTTTATTGACAACGTAGACATCAAAACACTTCCAGTGGATTTCCTCAGGTCAAAAATATCTGTAGTTCCTCAAGAGCCTACTATCTTTTCGGGAACGTTACGTGAAAATATTGATCCTAGAGGACAATATTCAGACGATGATATTTGGAAAGCTATTTCAAACGTGAATTTATCACTCTTTCAAAACTTGGATGAGAAAATTGACAATAATTTAAGCACTTGTCAAAAACAACTTGTTTGTGTGTGTAGAGCTCTCGTTCAGTGTAACAAAATTGTAATTTTAGACGAAAGTAGTGCCAGTGTAGATTCCGATACTGAAGCGTTGTTACAAAAAATAATAACGGAAAATTTTGCCGAATGTACCGTCATTGCAATTATGCACAAATTGCGTTACATTTTAGAATTTGACCTAGTATTAGTTGTAGATAAGGGCGAGATTATCGAGTCTGGTGATCCTTCTAGCCTGCTGAGTAAAAAAAATGGCGTGCTTAGCAACTTGTTTAAGAAACAATGAAATAATAAAATTATTAAACCAAAGAAAATGAGGGACTCAATGGTTTCAACATATAAACATATTAATGAAAATTTGATAGAAGATTATTATTAGCACAAATGTATTCAAATATTTTAAATAAATCTAAATGTTTTCTGTGTCTTTTTTTATGTCATAATTACCACATAGTGCTTAAAATAATAATATAAATAAACATTCTGGTTGATATATTTTAAACGTGATATACCTGTTTAGTAAATTACCATATTTATGATAACCTTAATTACCATGTATATGAGAATAATATTTAAACATACAAAATTTCTGAGTAGTCGATTTTCTAAAATTGTGAAATTTCGTTCTAATACTTTTTTCTACTTGCTCAAATACAATAATTCGGGATTATTATTGTGGACATTTTAAGTTTTATGTGTGGGGATGAACCTTTTGCTAAGCATTTTATCATCTATGTTCACGATAACCAGAAACGAAAATTTATCCACAGATTAGACTAGGAGTAATTATTTATGTACAACAAAGCAACGACGACAACAAGATATTAGTAGGTTGACTCGGAAAAAGCTTATGCAAATGTCTATTATTTCTACAAAACCGATTATGAGTACCCTCTGTAGTGTACGATTTTATCAGTTTATTACACAAATAATTGTATCAATTTATATCACTATCACATATTATTTATTACCAATTAAATTTGTTTAATAGAAGTACATTATACGTTAAGGCATGCCTGCAAACGTTCTAGAAAATTCTGATACGTAATGAAGGTAAATACAAACAAATACTATTCATAAATAATTATAAGATTGACCCAGAAAATGTTATAATCAAAGAAATATCTCTTCTTGTCACAATTTCGATAACAATATTATTTTTATTTAAGACAGAACTTTATGCATGGGCTTCTTCACCGGATAACGTTCCGAACATAGCGGTTAGGTTTTCACCAGACGAGAATTATCATAAAACTGTAAATGTAAAGATGATCGATTTGCAAAAACAAAGTCAATTTCTGCAAGTCAGCAATTGCAGAGTGTGATTCCAGATAGAGATGGTTGTCTCCAGGTTCGTAATTTTTCAAATTCAGATCAAAATAAAATATTGATATTGATATAAATTAATCATTATTTAAGCGCCAATGACAAACGAAATAAATAGTTTTAAATTTAAATTTCCATCATGAAATTTTGATCATAAATCCTAAATTAAGTATGAAATATGTATTGTAAAATTATAGATTTAAAATAATTTTAGTGTATAAACAGAGTTTTTAAAATAAAAAAGTTAAAAACCAAGTTATTTTTTTTAAATTAAAAAAAAAATAGAACCCAATTCGGGCCACTCCTGTTTTCACGGGGTTGTGTCCAGATAAAATCGAAGTTTCTTTTATGAAAAAAAAATCAAAGATGTCGGATTTCGAGAAATTGACGGTTTTTCTCAAAAAATTGAAAAATATCATAGAACTTCACACCAAAAATTTTTGTTCAATGTTTTTCTGAAAAGTAAATTTAAAAACATTTGGAAACAAAAAGTCACGCTGACACAATTTTTTAAGAAGTTACAGTTTTTTGAAGAAAAGGAGCCATTTTTTTAAAATTCATTACGTTTTTTTTGGTTGGGTAAAAAATTTGAAATTCTCAGTGGGTTAGAAAAAAATATAAAAATTTCAGCAAAATCGAAAGGAGTCGGGTTCAAAAGTGGTCGATCTGGCATGGACATCAGTCAAGTAAGTTTTTTGAGTAATGAAATTATTCTAAAATCAATTTTTTTCCCATCAAAAAAATTTAAAAAATTCATATCTCATGCGATTAAAAAAAAACACGATTTCCCGCACTTAATACAAAAATAACTATTTTTGAGAAACAAGATCTGATGCCTAAAATTTAGACGAATACAATCCAGAGATCTATAAAAAAATATTACGTTACACCTACGTACCTATATGTATAAAAGTGACAAAAAGTTTTCACACTGATAATGTTATCATTATGAGTAGTAAATGGGATATAACTGAAAAAATAACTTAAAAAATGAAGATTCTTAACTCCAATACTATTCATACAGTTTAAAACCTACCTGGTAATTAGGACAACGAGTTATTTAAATAAAGCTATATAGCTAATGTAACCACTGCCTTCCATTATCAAACTAAAATAATGATAACATTTTTCATGTGTAAGTACGTATAGAGCGGCTATACTTATTCATTATAGTCACATAAAAATTTCCTTAATTGCTGTTTTATTCGACTCCATTTCTAAACACAAAAATTGGTCTAAAGAGTTTAGACAGTACTTCCCTCGCTGTCGGAAACTTGACGACTGCATGCCTATTGTGTTTTTTTTTTTCTCATTACATTTTTGTAGTGGGAATTTAAAAAAAATTGTGATGACGTCATCAACATTTTTGCACGGACACGTATATCAGTTGGGATAGATGTAGTGTAATACTAAGAATAAAATTATTGTATTCCCAAATTTTCGGGAAAATGAATTGGGTAGTTTTGAATATTGATTTCTTATAATCAATAAAATAACGAAACAATATACTCACGTATACGGCGCCGGTGTGTAATATCTAGAGAGCGGATTTCTGTCGGGCTAGGCAAGGCCAAACTCGGTACGGCTCGTCCGGGATGCGAATTCATTGCGGTTGCGGATTGCACTTCGTTTATTTGAGATCAGAATAACGCTGTTTCGTTGCACTCTACTGTTAATTCCCGTTCTCATTTACTTAGCCGTTTGATTAATAAATCGTTAATTATATTTATGGAATTAGTACTGATTAAATTCAGTGATTATCTATCATCCGCTACTGAGTCCCGGCGATCCAGCGCGTCCCCACCTATAATCGTGACGTAGCCCGACAAAAATCCGCTGTCTAGTAATATGAAAGGCAACTGAAAATCGTTTATGTATAAACATTCTTAATTTAAGATGACAAGCGTAACAGCATACGTGAGAGTCAAACAGAGAAACTGTAAACAAAACGACCATCGGTTTGATTGCTTCGACTTCCGCTTATTATATAAAACATTGGGTTTTATTTTAATTCTTGACGTTGAAATTCACAATTGGTTGATTATAAACATGTCTATTTCACATTCGCGGAACCAAGTGAGCGCATAAAACAAATGCAGGTCTGTAATGTTAAAGTCGATGTACATAAGAGTGCTACCCTTATGTTTCAACCGAGTTTTTCTTTTAACAAATTTTCTGTCTACCAAATTGGGTTGCTTGGGGTGTAATACTAATAATAAGTGTTGTCTTTAATTTAATCAATAAAATAAATTGACTTCATTAACTTTTTTGAACCACCTCTTAAGAAAATCAAAAAAATATGAATGGAATGATAAATCACAAGTACAAACTCATCATATTTTTTGCATTTTAGATAGGATTTATTCAGCAAAATTTAAGGGTGACGTCATCAATTTTTTTAGGAGGGATGAACAAATACATTTTGAACAAAAGTTTACCATGCTTATAATAACTTTAAAATATTCCCAAGATTTCAAAGCATTCGGTTTTGTAATTCCTGATTAAATCGATAAAATAAATTCACGCCTTCATTAATTTTTTTGAGTCACCCTGCATATGCAAATCCAAAAATATGAATGGAATGATAAATCACAAGTACAGACTCATCATATTTTGTACATTTTAGATACGATTTATTCGGCAAACTTTTGAGCTGACGTCATCAGTTTTTTGTAGAAGATAACCAAATATATTTTGACTAAAAATTTATTATGCTCTTTATAACCTTAAAACATTGGATATCTACTGTTACAGTTCTTATCAAAATTTGGCCCATTTTTTCCAAACTTTACGATAATTTCACCTAGCGCTTATCGTTAAAACTGACTTAACCGGCTATTTTTGTTTTTTATATTACCATGATTTTACTCTAATAATAATACAGACGATTGCTTCAGCCTTCACACTTACGTGAAAGTAGGTCTATATATAAATATATTCAAATATTATTCACACTTTAATTAAGCAACATAACATTACTTGACGATAAACTGCAGAGTCAAACACTATATTTTCCAAAACGATAGTAACTTTCGCAAGTATTTTCTTTAAAGCTTAAATGGACTATTACAAAACAAACAAGAAATTAATTAATCCGGAGAAAAACAGACACTGGATTTGGAATTTATTTTTCTTATAAGTTAACAATCAATTCCAAAAAAAAAACTTGAAGTTTGTGAATAATTACGAATTTTAGATATACAAAGAATACATTCATCAAGGGTTACAGAACAGACCTGACTCAAAATGATATATATCAAGTGCTTCCCGAACATATGTCAAAAACATTAGGAGATAAATTAGAAAAGGAGTGGAACACACAAATGGGTGAAAATAAAACATCTTTGGAAATGTTTTGGCAGACAATATCTTGTAATAATGTTTAAATCCTAAATTTAAACAATAATTTCTAAAAATTAAAATTTCCTCTTTACGAGGTCAAGACCAACGACGCGAATGTAGAACGCTGAAACATGGAATTGCAAGCACCAGAACTACGAAACGCTGACCACTGCACGTGGTTGAAAATGGAACTACAAAGATTGAACAACTTGAACAGGATACTGCTCTGATTCAAAGCTTCACATCTGATTTAGGTCTCGGTGATCAACAGATCAAACCGATCAGATTAGGAAAGTTTGATCTCAGCAGACAGCCCTTGTCACGCCCAATTAAAGTCCACTTCTCATCCCCTGAAATTGTCCATAATATTGTCCGAAAGTTCGAAACTTTAAGAACAAATGATAAATACTCTGCACTAGCAGTATCCTATGACCGGACTCTTAAACAAGCGGAACTTTATAAGGCAGTGAAAAATGATCTCAATACTCGTTTACAACATGGAGAATCTAATTTAAAAATAATATATCGAAATGCAACTCCGACGATTGTGTGTTATACTACCAAAATGCAAGAGGGTTGAACTCTAAAACACATCAGTTATACTCGAGTGCTTCGGACTTAAGTTTTGATATTATCTTATTTTCTGAAACTTGGCCAAATTATTCTGTTTTCAATAACGAACTATTACCCTGTGATTATTCCATTACTCGTTGTGATCGTGACCATGCCCGCGTTAATCGATCTAGAGGCGGTGGTGTTCTTATTGCTATAGCATCTAAGTATACGTATACAGTTATTAATACATCATTCCAGGTCGATATTGTCCCTCTCATTGATATTGTCTTGTGTAGAATGCGTTTTGGATCTTTAAATTTAGTTTTAGAAGTTGTTTATGTTCCCCCAGACGACGTTTCTGTGGCTGTTCTTGAAATTTTCACTTCTGCTTTGGAACAACTTCTACTTGACCAGGATTTTCTGATAATAGGGGATTTTAATATACACGACATTAATTATTAGGCTTCATCGCAAAGCAATAAGTCTTTCTGCTTTCAGCAGTTCATTAATGTTCTCAACATCAGGCAACATAATAACATTCGCAACTCTCTTGGTAGAATGTTGGATCTAATACTGGCTAACAGTGATAACTTGACAATATCTACTTCTCACTGTGATCATCCTTTGGTCAAAGAAGACAAGTACTATCCGTCGCTAAGCGCCACTATGTCCGAATTTAAGCGTATGCGCACTTTGGTAAAATTTCAGAGAGGTACCTCGAGGATTCCAAACACGGTTTTCAAGGATTCTTGCACATTCTCTAGGCCTGTTGACGTTGTAAACGGCTTTGCTAACCATTTTTCTATGCAGCCGACATCGCGATGGATCTTTCTGATTTAACAAGTAATATCTTACCCCTCAATTTTGTATCCGTAGAAGAACAGCAACTTATTAATATCATGGCAAAATTTTACAACAAGTTTACTGCTGATGACGACCTTATTTCTAGTTTCTGGATTCGGGACTGTAGATACGTCTTAGCTAAACCGCTCTCCATAATATTCAATGCTGCTATCGAAAGCTCGTCTTTCCCGTCAGTATGGAAACGTGCAAAAATATTCCCGATTTTGAAGAAAGGAGATCCCTCCATGATTCCTAACTATATACAGGGAAATTGCTATTTTATCGAACTTCTCAAAAGTGTTTGAGCAGGTGCTTAATTCAGCAATCTATAACCATGTTAAGAATTACATTTCACCAAAGCAACATGGTTTTGTTTCTGGCCGCTCAACCGTTACAAATCTTGCTACAGTTACTCATTCATTATCTTGCTGAAAAGATTGATAATCGTGGTCAGGTCGTTATTATTTATACGGATTTTAGCCGAGCTTTTGATACAATTCAGCATAATATCCTATTACATAAACTTAGCTACTTTGGACTTACTGATAGTGCTCTGGCACTGATTCGATCTTATTTGTACGATCGAATTGCTTATGTTTTTTACAATGGTTACGCCTCAAGTGAATTCATCGTTGCACCTGGGGTTCCACAAGGGTCCAACCTTGGTCCTCTATTGTTTATTCTATTTATTAATGATCTTCTATTGCAACTGTCTTGCCCAGCTTTAGCTTATGCGGATGATGGAAAACTTTATCATGAGAACTCTTCAGTGGGAAATATGGACTTGCTTCAATTAAATTTAAATAGGATTATTCAGTGGTGCGAAAGGTTCAAACTCAATCTGAATGTGGATAAGTGTTGAACGGTTACTTATACGCGGACTCTGACACCCCTTAATACCTCTTACTATACCGCCTGTCTGGAAAATGGCGGATTAACTCTTCAGTACGTTATACACAGGGGTTTCGGGAGTTTTACTTTCAAAAATTCCAATTTATGTTCCACGCATCTCTTCGAGGTCTGATGTTTCATTTCGTCCCCCGGCTGCAAGAACCGACGTGCTGCGCAGAGCTCCCATCAACATCATGTGCAAAGCGGCTGATCGCACCTTTGACGACATTTTTGCTTAATTTCTGCTTAAATTCTGCTTAATTTTTCTTTTTAATTTTTTTATTTTCTTTGTTAATTGTACAATATACATATTTTCAGTTAATTTATATTTGTGAAATATTATTACTTTATTTATTTGTCTTATAATTGGTTATTCCATTGGACAATAAAGACTATTAATATTATTATAATCCTTAAAATAATAATAGAAATAAACAATCTGCTAGGTACATCTTAAGCACGGATTACTAAATTCTTATGAGATGCCTAATTAACAAATTATATCATATTTGCGTTAAAATTGCTATGTTTAGGCAATATTTAACTCAATTGGTTATAAAAAATTGTGAAATTTCGGTATACTACTTTTTTACAAAAACATACACACCTAAATTTAAAAATAAGGGTGGGGTTCAACAATAAGTTACAATTATACGGGGTTATTTGTGTAAAATTTATCTGTCACGAGGCGATGCCGAATTATTTAATATCCCTGATTATATCCCTGCATCTACTATTTTTTCAACACCGACGGCATGCGGTCCTACTCTTCATTTCGTAAATAATTTGACATAAATTGAAAGCATCTGAGAAGAACTGGACCTCAGAGACAGATTCGTTCATTTTGATAGCAACGGTGTTTATTTGCAAAAAAAAATGTGAATTCAGACTTTTGAGTATGCTGAAATTGACTTGTAAGCAGTTTGAGAAGTAGATATGTTGGTTCCGAACGATGTTGCTGAAACGGCGACCAACAATTTGCTTCCAGAAAAATCAAGAAAGTTGTTTGAAAGAGAGTACACGAAGTTTTGCAGCTGGAGAAGTGAGAAAAGGGCCGGAGGAAATAATTCTCGCCTATTTGTCCGTAAATGCAAAGAATGTCAAACCTTCAAGTTATTATTCAATGTTAAAGGCCGTTATTATATTCGAAGAAAAAATGGATATTAACAGATGTGTACCTACTTTTATCTTGATTGTGATTTAATATGAAAAATTAATGTAGTCTGAACAAGCAGTCATTAGGTTGCAAGTCCAAGAAGTCAAAGATTCTTATGGGTGAGAGGGTAGATAGGGAATACAGAAACGCTTTGTATTGTGCTGTATCAACAGAAAAACCAAATGAAGATATCATACACTTACTAACACAAAATGGTTTAGATGTCAAGGCTAAAGATAATAATGGGACTACAGCAATACATCTTGCATGTGGAGCTGGTAATTTAAATATTCTGAAACTATTACTTCAAAATAGAGGAGAGCTTGGACTTTTGAACAACGATGGAGAAAACGTTTTGCACTTTGGCGCATCTCAACAAAATAGAGATATAAATTTAACACTATTCCTAATACGTAACGGTTTGAGCGTTAAGAGCAAGGATAACACAAAAACAACACACTGGTGCAAAAAGGAATCGACCGAACGATGCAGATTAACACGACGACGATGTGTACCATTGTCGTGATGTAACCCTAGAAGTATTGGAAATATTTTGTTGTCTTTTTACTCCTTCTATTAAAATATTACTTAGTTCAATTTTCACTGTCTGTATTTTTTATTGTTTGTATGTTTTGTATTTAATGCTCAAATATGTTGTATGAAATTGTTATAAACTATAAATACTAAAAAAGGTGCTCCTACCTCTGCTCTTCTTAAATTTATTCCCCATTTTAATTACAAACATTTCAAATTTTAATTTACTTTTTTTGAAACGAGGAAAATTTAAATGTTGTCATGAACAACGTGACCCCTTTAAAACATTGAGTCACCTGAGAATCCTCTGTGCCCAGACATAATGTTATGGTACATGCATGTTTGCCTTAAAATTTACTCTCAAGGAATGAAATGTGCCTTAAATGGCAACGTTAATTCTGTAATTTTTTACCATAAATAAATATTGCAAAATTACTTTTTTTGAGAAAAAAATCAGTCTAATTCATAAGATTTAGAAGGATATAATTAACAAATCTATAAAAAATTATGCCATATGTGACCATAAATTTCAGCTTAGGAAGAGCGTTCTCAAAAAAGTAATGTTTCACCTTCATATATAACAGTGACATAAAATTAACATACTGATAGCGTTATCAGCCGTAAAAGGGATATCATTGAAAAAATAACTTAAAAAATGGAAGCTTATTAACTCCAATGCCATTCGTGCGGTTTAAAACCTACTAGGCAATTAAGACAACGAATTACGTAAACAAAGCTTTGCAGCAAATGCAACTGTATAATAGCGGCTACAGTTATAATTTATAGTCACATAAAAATTTGCTTAATTGCTGTTTTATTCGACTTCATTTCTAAACACAAAATTAAAGCGTTTTAGTAAGTAGTAGTTTTGCAAACCAAAATGATTAAAGGTGGATATTTTTCAATGGATTGCCTGAGAACAAAAAAGATTATTATTAATAATACACCGAAAAATGTTCATCCCAAGGAAGAAGCAAATTTTTTGTCGCATTTTCTCTTTTGGTATGGATTTTCCAACGTTTAACTATATTATACCTTCAAATTTTAGTTGGCAGCTGAAAACAATTTTAAATTGTTCAAAAATGGAGTCACTGACGACGACTTCATCACACCGACAAGAGATCATGAGACACAACTATCAGGAGACAGATTGGAAGCGCTATGGAATAAAGAAAAAAATTGTAGAAAAAACCTTCTTTTACCAGAACAATGGCACAATTTTTAGGCATCAAATATGTGCTTTGTGGATTATTTTTTTGTATAGCAGATTCACTATCAATGTAAGCATAAAATCATACCTACAGTCTAGTGACATCGACATGACTAAGTTAAAAAAAACTGCCACAAAAACTAAAACTTAATGATTTTAACATAAATAAGAGTCATAATAATATTAATAATCGTAAGAATTCTCCATGACGCAGTTCAGCAAAACATCTGGTAATGCTAAAGTTTACATAATGCGTAATAGAAACTTAAAATGGAACCAAAACGCAAATTTCCTCTACCATATACTAAAAAGAAAACTGTGTTATATAAATGATACTGTTACAAACTCTTTCAATCTACCGCTAGTAAATTGTACCTTAAACTATCACATTTTACAAAATCATAATCATATTTAATACTGTTGCACATAGCCTTTCGGACGTAATGCACAGTATTTCAGATTTTTTTTTACCAGAGCTGCTGCTCGAAGACAAAAAGTGACTAGAGAAAGAGACAATCGAATACCTATAATGAACGATATTATTTTTAGAATGAGAGAGATCAAAACGTATGTTTGGGAGAAACCTTTTGCTGAACTCATAAATAAAATTAGAAGGTTTTAATTTTTAAAATCAAGCCACTGTTATTAACTTGTTAAATTTTAGATGTGAACTTACCCATGTGAAAAAGCTGAATCGCATATCAAACGATAACATTACGATTGCGACGTACATTCACAAACTATCTGTTTACGTATTTATTTTAGTTTTAACAGCGACTGGTACTCCTTTAGAGCCACATTTGATTTTTATGTCTATAAACGTATACAATTTACTTAAAACATCGGTGCATCAAGTAACTTTTGCTGTTAATTTAATATCAGAAGTTAAAGTGTGTATAACCCGCATCGAAATATTTTTGCTATCGGATCACGAAGCTATTGACAAACAAAAAATAGAAGAAATGCAAGGTTGTAAAATATATGCTCGTAATTTAACGGCTCAATGGAACTCATCACAAAAGGCGACGATAAAAGACGTAAATTTCAAACTTGATTGTGGTCAGCTAGTTGCAGTTACCGGAGACACAGGGAGTGGAAAGTCTTCTTTATTCCAAACTATATTGCAAGAACTATTTATAGTCGACGGAATTCTCTCCCAGGATGGTTTGATATCTTATGCATCGCAAAATCCATGGGTGTTTTCGGCAACCATCCGAGAAAACATAATATTTAATGAAGCCTTTAACCAGAACAAGTATTTGAATATCCTTAAAATTTACGCTTTAGAATATGACATAGCTCCCATGGAGACAAAACTTTGGTAGGAGAAAAAGGAGCAATGCTAAGTGGAGGCCAAAAAGCCAGAATTAACTTGGCACGAGCTATATACAAAGGTGCAGACATCTATCTTTTAGATAATCCTCAAGCGGCGATGGATGTATGTGTCGTTCGACACATTTTTACCCAATGTATTTTGAAATTTCTCAATTTCTCAATTATTCGGACAAAGTATATGTTCTAGAAGACGGGAAGGTAAAGTTTTCCGGAAAATATGAAACACTAGAACAGACCCCAAATAACGTACAAGAAAACAGAAACAAAACAGTGACAAAATTTTGTGGAAAAAGTTGTAAAGCCCAAATTGAAACTAAAGAACACGCAGGTAGTAATAAAGTCAACACATATACAACATATTTGTTTGCCAATGAAAGCCAGTTCTTCGTCTATCTTCAATTCTTCCTTTTCATTTCAACTCGAATTTTTATGAACGGTTCAGACGTGTTCTTGTGTTTCTGGATCAACCTGAGGCAAAATCCTACTAAATTTAGCATAACACTGTTGCAATACATTTCCGACGTTAAATGTGTGTACATTTACAGTGGATTTATACTAATAGTGGTATTTTTGTTTCACATGGGTTCTTTAAACTTTGTAGAATGCTGTAATAAGTGCTCCCTTAAGCTACACGATACGCTATTCAACAAAATACTGTATGGAACTATAAAGTTTTTCGACAGTGATCCATCTGGTCGAATTGTTAATAGAATTTCTAGTGATATAAGTGCCATCGATGAGACCATCCCCAAAAATGTGTATCAAGTTGCAAGACAAATTTGTACTGTGTTAGGTATTTATGTCGTGGTCAATGCAGTAAATCATTACATGATTGCACCAACACTGGTTTTGTTGGTAATTTTTTATTACTATTTGCAAGCTTTCCGACCAGTACTTAACAAACTGAAGAGAATCGCCGCCACACGTAAACTTGTAGCAAAGATCGGGACTACATCTTCCATTGATTTCATTTTTTTAGGTAAGAGCCCTATTTATACTCACGTAGTAGCTACCATTGACGGATTGACAACCATTAGAGTTTCAGAAGCCCAAAAATACTCTTTGTCAAAATTCGAACGCTATCAAGATTCCTATACCTCGATTACACGCTTTGCACGCTTCTTATGCATTTTGGACAGATTTCACTTGCATGTTGTATGTAGCCGTTGTTATATTCTTTCTAATAATCTTCAAAAAGAGCAAGTAATTTAGTAACTGTTGACGGTACTCTCATGCAACTTTTTTAGGTGATATGGTGGGAAACGTTGGTTTATCCATTACACAATCGCTCTTAATGATTTCAGCGATACAGTACATGATCAAGATTTATGGTGAGCTTGAAACACAAATGACTTCAGTTGAAATAGTTGCGGAATACGATGACCTAACAGTTGAGGATAATAATAAAAGTGAAATTAATCCTCCTGCCGCATGGCCTGCAAGCCATATGTGAATTTTTTTTTAAGAAGTGTTTCTAAATACTCTTTTTCATTTTATGTTAACTTGAAATAATGCAGTTTTTTTTTGTAAAGTAATGCGTTTATTTATTATTAAAGCTATGTTAATAAAACGCATAAAAGTGACAAATCATTCCAACGGTTCCAGTGCCGTATCAAATTTGGCAGAAGGTGGTGTTGGCGAATACCAAATAAGGAAAATTTCAGGTCACAGCAGTATGGGCTCAATCAATTCATACAGTTAAACTGAATTGATTTCAAAAATGGGAAATGAAAATTTGTCAAGCGAAGCTACAAGTGATAAAATTGCAACGAATAACTATTATAACTGGATATTTTATTATTCGAATAAATAACCTTTTAAAATAATTTAGTCAATCCTTATTTTTGTAGAATGTCCAAAATATTCACCTTAAACACACGTGCAAATACCCGGGTATTTGGATAATGCATCGAATACTTGGTCATATTTTTCCGTTGCTAGGTGGAAGATGCGTTAATATGATTGGTTGAAATTTTCTGAGAAAAATTGTCATTCTATAATTATGTTCAAAATACATTGCCTTGAATTTCATAACTGTCACTGTCAGATGTAAATGCGACGTCCTAGCTGTTTCGGGACAAATTTTAATTTAGTTTTGAAAAAATGAGAGAAAAATCGAGTAAATCAGATGTGGAATTTGATAATATTCCACCTGAAATTATAAATTCGGTAGCTAATATAATCCAGAACTTCCTGCCACAAAAATCGAAAAAAAGTGGAAATCGTCGACTCTCTGGAAATCTTAATATTAATTCAGTCACCTTTTCTGGTCGTGGACAAAATGCAGTCTGTTACTAGGTTAGAATAAAAATTCGATCTACGAGTGGAAGATTCCGAACGCGAGCGTCAACGAGTTACAGAATATACTATTATAAGATACTGCATACGTGGGTTGCGAATCCATATTGAGTTTTTTCTTAGCCATCCATTTTACAATTTAACTTTGGAACTCCAAAATCAAATGCTCTGAAATCATGCAAAGGTTTTAATGTTTATAGGAAAGGAAGCATGATAAATCGTTAATGAAAACTATTTAATTCGTTTAATTCGCTCATAGGCTTCATCTTCATCTTACAATTGTGCTGTTGTGTTGCATAGTGTATTTCGTATGGAACATTTTGACCTCTTGGATATCTACTGTTACAGTTCTTATCAAAATTTGGGCCATTTTTTCCAAACTTTACGATAATTGCACCTAGCGTTTATCGTTAAAACTGACTTAACCGGCTATTTATATTTTTTATATTACCATGATTTTACTCTAATAATATAGTCGTTTGCTTTAGCCTTCACACTTACGTGAAAGTGGGTCTATATATAAGTATATTCAAATATTATTCACACTTTAATCAAGCAACATAACATTACTTGACGATAAACTGCAGAGTCAAACACTATATTGTCCAAAACGATAGTAACTTTCGCAAGTATTTTCTCTAAAGCTTAAATGGACTATTACAAAATAAACAAAAAATTAATTAATCCGGAGAAAAACAGACACTGGATTTGGAATTTATTTTTCTTGTAAGTTAACAATCAATTCCAAAAAAAACTTAAAGTATGTGAGTAATTACGAATTTTAGATATACAAAAAATACATTCATCAAGGGTTACAGAACAGACCTGACTCAAAATGATATATATGAAGTACTTCCCGAACATAAGTCAAAAACATTAGGAGATAAATTAGAAAATGAGTGGAAGGCACAAATGGGTGAAAATAAAACATCTATACCTAAACTTCTTTGGAAATGTTTTGGCAGACAATATCTTTTAATAATATTCACCTTGGTCATCCCTGTGACAATAACGTATTTACGATAACACAATAATAATTTCCCTTCACTTTTAATCATTTGTTTAGGTTCTTGCAACCAAAGATACTAAAAAAATTCATTTCATACTTTACACCAAGACACAATAATCTAAGCAGAACTGATGCGAGCTTGTATGGACTATTGTTGATCATACTTTCGGTTATAAGACTTCTGTACATGCACAACTTTTTTCTAAGGGTTTCAGAATTTGGGATTAAAATACGTGCTGGATTCACATCTTTAATCTACAGACAACTTTTAAGAATAAACCCGTCAGTAGTTCAAAGTGGCAAGATGATAAATCTGATAACCACAGATGTGAGTGAATTTGAAGAAGCTGTTTCTAAATTTACCAAAATGATAAAAGATCTATCTAGGGCTGTGGCACTATGTTGTGTCCTATATTCAGAAATTGGATGGTTATTTCTTATACTCCCCACGATAATTTTTATTAGCATGTTCCTCAACAGTAAGCAGGCAAAAACTAAGATAACCATTTAGACTTTAAATTTTTTTCAGCATGCATAGCAGCTTTAGTGCGTAAACTTAAATTGAAATCTTTGAGGAAAACTGATGGAAGATATCAAATAATAAAAGAAGCACTAAGTGCAATAAAAGTCGTCAAAATGAACCTTTGGGAAGACAATTATGAAAAGAAAATTACTAAAATCAGAAAGTAAGCAGGTAAAGAAACAACTGATTTTATATTTGTTTTTCTTGATTTACAGTGAAGAAATTCATCTTATACGCAACATCAATATATTGTTATTTCTAAAACTGATACTTTCTGAAACATTTCACAACGCGTCGTGGTACATAGTTGTAGCAATATCCATATGGTTCAACATCCATTCAACTGCCGGAACATTATTTCTTATAATACAGAGTCTAAATATTGTTTCATTTGGCATGAGAGTCAATTTTCCAGCTGCGATACATGAAATAGCTACTTTAATTGCCGTATTTAAGCGAATTGGACAAACACTTCGAATTCAGAGTGATGAATCATTCGTGGAAGATAATAAGCTTTCACCAAGAATTCAGATGAATTTACAAATTCAAACTGCAGATAACGACACACTAATAAATTTGAACAAGTGTAACATTGCAAGAGGAATAACAGCAATAACAGGACCTATTGGCAGTGGCAAAAGTCTTCTGCTGAAAGTCCTCACAAAAGAATACAAAAATGTGAAAGGCGACTTAGAACTCGCCGGTAGCATTTCTTACGCATCACAAGAACCTTGGCTTTTTCCATCGACCATCAAACAGAACATCTTATTTGGAAGTGATTACGACGAAAATCGTTACTTAGAAGTTTTACGAGTTTGTGCTCTACTTGAAGATCTACTTTCTTTAAGCGATGGTGATTCTGCACTTGTAACTAACGGAGGAGCTAATCTAAGTAAAGGACAACAAGCTAGAATAAATTTAGCGCGGGCTGTTTATAAAGAACGTGACATATATTTATTAGATGATTGCCTGGCTAGCTTGGATGCAATTGTTGCAGATTTTGTATTTGAGGAGTGCATTAAAAAATTTTTGAAAGACAAAATAGTGATCTTGGTTACTCCATCCATAAAGTACGCCAACAGGTCCGACAACGTCATAACAATGAAAAATGGTAAAATGCAAAACTCGCACCTCATCCAGTGTAACACCCCAAAAAGCACTGAAACTAAAAGTATGAAATATATTGAAAAAGATAAAGCAAAAAGCGAAAAAGAAGAGTCAACTGGGGAACAAAACTTTGACGATGAAACCCCACTGATTAAAAAGAACATAGAGATCAAAGAATTATACACAGAAACGAAAGTAAAAGGAAAGGTTCAATTCGAAACGTACAACAAATATATTAAAGCAAATGGAGGCATGGTCAAAATGTTTTCACTTTTACTTCTCGCTGGAATAATTCAGTTTTTAAAAAGTTCCATCAATCAAATGGAATCCGTTTGGTAAGTGATAAGTATTAATAAAACGAGCACGTGTTGATTTGTGTTTATTAAACCGCTTACAACTTCATGTCTTACCTATTCGACTGTCTGTCTCGAAGAGGACGAGTCCTTGCAAAAAAATCAGTACCTACGCTATGCGCAGTCGCATTCCATAACATCTTATTATTAACCTACTTCCTACTTAACCTACTGTACACTTAATCTACGCCTTAATTAATACATTACATATCCCCCCATTTAAGATAAGTACATTTAAAAAAACCCGAATGCGCCTAATATTAATTCCTAATCTCTGTAACGTGCTGAGATGTTACAAGAACGCTTTGGTCTATCGCGTACCGGAATGACTGGAATAGGATTGGGTTGCGGTTCGAGAGATGGTGTTTGTTCTGGTGGTGGCGGTGTGGCTGATGGCATTGTTGGTTCCCCAGGCATCTTCTTTTGTGGTACTTCTTGGTTTGTATTCGCTGGTTGTACTGTCTCTGACTTGCTGTCCTCAGTGCTTGGTGCTTCAATTCTTTTTCTCATTTGATCAACGTGTCTCCTCCATTTTTGTCCATCTGATAACTCGGACGTGTAGTTTCGTGGTCCCAGTATGTCGATGACCTTTGCTTCCTGCCAAGTTTTGGTATTAGGCTTCCGATAGTCCCGAATCCAAACTATACTTCCCTTCTCAAATGTTGGAGAATCTCGACCTTTATGGTTAAATTGCCTTTCTGTGTCTCGGTTTGTGTCAAGTCTCATTAAGTTGAGCGTCGTGTGGAGATGTCTACCCAGCATCAATTTCGTTGGCGCTTCATTCGTTTGACAGTGCGTGGAATTTCTATACCTGAATAAATACCTGCTGACAAGAGTGTCTGTCGAAACGTGTCGGTTTCTTTGGTCTAAAAGCGCTGCCTTGAAGCCTTTCTTAAAACTCCTTACTGCATTTTCTGCTGCTCCATTTGTCTCTGGTTTGTACGGCGGTCCGGTAACGTGCCTTATTCCATTTCTTTTTAAGAAAACTGTAAACTCCTCTGATGTAAGCTGTGTACCGTTGTCTGATACCAAAGTCTCTGGAATTCCCCATCTTGCACATGTTTCCCTGATTTTGCTAATTGTTGCAGCGGACGTGATTGAGTTCATTTTAAAAATTTCAGGCCATTTACTATAAGCATCCAACATAATGAGGTAGTGGCTGTTATTAATCGGTCCAAGGAAATCGATGTGCACTCTTTGCCACGGACGCGTTGGTCTATTCCACGGAATTGGGATCGCTTTCTGAGGTTCCCTTGCGACTTTATTGCATGGAATGCAGCTACGAGCTATGTTCTCAATGTCCTTGTCCAAATTCGGCCACCAAAAATAGGCTCTGGCTATTGATTTCATTTTGACAATACCCAGGTGACTGCTGTGTAGTTCCTCTAACAGGTGGTGCTGCAGCTTCCTGGGCACAATTACTCTGTAGCCCCACATCAGACATCCTTGTTCGCAGGTTATCTCGTCTTTCCTCTGGACGAACGGTTTTAGGAAATCGTCTGTTTTTTGCTCTGGCCACCCCTCAGTTACGAACTTTACGATCTTACTCAGCGTGGGATCACGACGTGTGTCTCGCGATACCGCGGTCTGTGTGACTGGCATTCCGTCTGCAATTACTAGGTTGAGGTGTGTTGTCTCCGTAACCTCCTCTGGTGTTTCTGAGTACAGTGGATGTCTTGACAATATGTCAGCTACACTGTTCTCCTGGCCTTTGACGAACTTGATTTTATATTGGAATCCGGATAGATAGAGTGCCCACCGTTGGAATCTAGCTGATGCCATTTGTGGTATTCCTTTTTGCTCTCCGAAGAGGTAGATTAGTGGCTTGTGATCCGTGTGTATTTCAAAGCTATGCCCTAGAAGATATGTCCTGAGTTTTGATGTCGCCCAATAAATCGCCAAAGCCTCTTTATCAAGAACCGAATAATTGCCTTCTGCCTTGCTTAGAGTCCTGGAAATGAAGGCTATTGGTTTTAAGTCCCCATTCGTCGTCTTGTGTGATAAGGTGGCTGCAATTCCATAATGTGAGGCGTCCGTTGATAGAATTATCGGTCGTGAAGGGTCGAAGTGCTCTAGTACCCTATCTGACGCTATTTCTTGTTTGATGAGGTTGAATGCTTTTTCGCAACCCTGATCCCAAGCAAATTTGCTGTCGCTTTTTAACAGCTCGTGAAGAGGCCTCATTATTCCCGCAAATTCTGGTACAAACCTGCTGTAGTAATTTACTAAGCCAACAAAACTTTTTACCTGCCGCACATCCCTTGGCCTGGGTACTTCAAGCATGGCTCTGATCTTGTCCTTATTGGTTTTTAATCCCTCTCTTGAGATTACATATCCTAAGTATTTTATCTCATTTTTGAAAAATTCGCACTTTGATAATTTCAACACAAAGCCTGCCTCTTTCAGCCTTAGAAACACTTGCCTCAAGTTGTTTTTGTGCTCTTGTCTGGTCTTTCCAGTGACTAGTATATCATCTAAAAAGTTGGTCACCCCGACGAGTCCGCTTAACGTTTGTTCTAATGTGCGCTGAAATATTGCGCTTGCTGGTACGATCCCGAAGGGGAGCCTATTTACCTTGTATAGACCCTTGTGCGTGCTCCATGCCAGTAATTTGGCTGATTCCTGGTCCACGACTAACTGATTGTATGCGTCGCTTAAGTCCATCTTGGTGAACGATTCACCCCCATTCAACTGCATAAATATTTCCTCTATTCTAGGCAAGGGGTATTTCACCTCCCTGAGATGCCTGTTCACCGTCACTTTGTAATCGCCACAAATTCGGATGCTACCATTTACCTTTAATACTGGAACAATTGGTGTCCCCCAATCTCCGTGCTCAATGGCAGAAATTACACCTTTCTCTTCCAACCGCTGTAGTTCTGCTTCCACTTTTTATTTATAGGATAAGGGTAGGGCTCTAGGTTTATGATAAATGGGTTGGGTGCTGTCTGATTTTAGTTCTAGTATAAACGTGATGTGCTTGTAACATCCCAAATGCTCTGAAAATAGATTATTAAATTCATCGGCAACAATTTTTGTATCGGTGTCTAAGCTATTAATTTCACAATCGTTATTTATTAATGTAAATTTGAATTTACTTAAAAAGTCCCGGCCTAACAAATTGTTGTCCCCTGTCTTATCTACTACATGAAATATAAAATCATTGTGTACCACATTTTTATACCTTAACGTAGCCTTTATGTAGCCCTTATTGGCAACAGTATCTCCCGAGTATGATTTTAATTTAAGTCTGCTTTTAAACAATGGGCATGCAGTCTTAAAATACTGGTTATAACACTCCTCTGTTATGACGGATAAGGTTGCTCCACAGTCGATCTGTATTGGCAACCTCACATTGTTTACACTGACCTGCAGCTTCACTGGTTCCTCCACTTGAAAGTCTAAATTAAAAATTTGTGCCTCTTCAAAATCTTCTTCCGCTTCTATGGCGTTTTGTGTAGCTCTTGACCTACAGACCTTGGCTAAATGACCCACTTTATGGCAAGAGTTGCATTTGTACGTTGCGTATTTGCACCTCTGGTTCCCTGTATGTGCGGCTCCACATGCTTTACAAGACCACCTCCTTGGATTGTTCCCATTTCTGCGTCCTTCGAGTACTCCTGACGTGTTGTTTGCGCTGCCCGAAAATTCTGGATTCCACCTTTCTTTTCGGACCAGGTTAATCTCCTTGTCAGCCTTGATGGTGGTTTCTCTCGCTAGTGCGATTTCCAAGAGCTTTTTAGTGATTTGCTCGGCTTTTCCTCGCACAGTCGGTCTCGAATTGGGCCCTTTCGCATACCGCACACGAATTTGTCTTTGAGGACGTTCCCCAGGTCCGCACCGAAGTCGCAATTCGTTGAGAGATTGTGTATTCGCACGTGCCAATCGTTCACGGTCTCTTCTTCCAACTGCTTCGCGTCGTAGAATTCTAACCTCTCTCTGAAAACGCACGTGGTCGGAGAAAAATGCTTCTTCAAATGGTTGCAGAGCTCTTCGTACGTCTTGTCTTTAGGGGCTTTTGGTGTGCACAGGTCTCTGAGTTTCTTGTAAGTTTCTTGGCCAATTAAACTGATCAACGCCGCTACTCGCTTCTTAGATGCTTCCGTGTCTTTGATGTCATTTATTTCGAAGTATTGCTCGAGCTGTTATTGGTATAAAATCCAGCTGTCCACACGTGGATTGAAATTTTGTATAGAACCAATCATCTTCGTTGTTCTTCTTTTTAATCCTCGTCGCCAGTGATAAGTATTAATAAAACGAGCACGTGTTGATTTGTGTTTATTAAACCGCTTACAAATTCATGTCTTACCTATTCGACTGTCTGTCTCGAAGAGGACGAGTCCTTGCAAGAAAATCAGTACCTACGCTATGCGCAGTCGCATTCCATAACATCTTATTATTAACCTACTTCCTACTTAACCTACTGTACACTTAATCTACGCCTTAATTAATACATTACAGTAAGACTAAAATTTGATAATTTCCTCCCATTGACTTGAACTTGTAGGATAAATGCGGAACAAGTACTACTTAACAATGCCACCGACAAGGAAATCTATATTGAGGCAAATGAAAAACGTCACCAAATGCTAATTTTTCTACCTATAGTTATTTTAACAGCGACCACATTAATGGTATTAAATACCTATTTTTTCTGGGTGTTTGCTGCCAAAACGTCACTTAAGCTTCACAATTTACTTTTCGCTAAAGTGGTTCGCAGTTTTATGGAATTCTTTGACAAAAATCGAATAGGAATTATTTTGAACAGATTTTCAGAAGACATACTGTACATTGATGAAATACTACCCTTGACGTTTTTTCTACTAATGGGTGTAAATCGGTTAATTTTAAAAAGTGATTTATAATATTCCTGAATTTTAGAATTTTGCCGGAATAGTTGGAGTTGTTATTCTCATAGCTACAGTTAATGCTTCGTTATTAATTCCATGTATTCTGGTTAATGTATTCATGGTATTCGTACAAATGTTCTACGTAAAAATTGGAAATGCTTTAAAACGACTGGAATTTTTGAGTAAGCATAAAAACAATTTTTTTTTAAATGACAGCACTTAAAAACTTAGCACGAAGTCCTTTAATTGGGTACATCACTGCTACTTTAGACGGACTGACAACCATAAGGACCTCAAGAATTCAAGATACATTGCGAAAGGAATTTGATCAACATCAAGATTTGCATACTTCCTGTTCCTACATGTACACATGTTGTGAGCATGCATATCACATGATGCAAGCAGCTGAAGAAATTATTCTCCTTACTTTCGCAATTATCCTTTTTTTAGCACTAGATGACAGTAAATTGAAATCTTGAGAGCCAAGTGATACTAATTAACAATATTTTTTTAGAAATGACAGCAGGAAAAGTTGGACTTGTTTTGTCGCAAATATTTCGTTTGACAATGCCAGAGCATTTCTTTTATGTAATGATAACTAGATTTCAAAATCAAATGATAACAGTAGAAAGAATTTTGGAGTACACTAAACAAAAACAAGAAAGCAAAGATGGTTTAGTAATGGAACATTGGCCTAAGGAATGTGATATACGATGGAAAGACGTGTCCTTTTCTTACAAGAGCGACCAAGACCATGTTTTGAAACATTTAAATTTCGCCATAAAAAATAAACAAAAAGTTGCCATCGTCGGTAGGACTGGTTCAGGAAAAACATCATTGATTTCTACACTCGTACGACTTTACGATTTCGAAGGAAGCATTTTTATTAACAATGTAGACATCAAAACACTTCCAGTGGATTTCCTCAGGTCAAAGATATCTGTAGTTCCTCAAGAGCCTACTATCTTTTCGGGAACGTTACGTGAAAATATTGATCCTAGAGGACAACATTCAGACGATGACATTTGGAAAGCGATTTCAAACGTGAATTTGTCACTCTTTAAAACTTTGGATGAGAAAGTTAACTTGAATTTAAGCATTTGTCAAAAACAACTCATTTGTGTGTGTAGAGCTCTCGTTCAGCGTAACAAAATTGTAATTTTTGACGAAACTAATGCCAGTGTAGATTCCGATACTGAAGCGTTGTTACAAAAGATTATAACAGAAAATTTTGCCGAATCTACGGTCATTGCAATTATGCACAAATTGCGTTACATTTTAGAATTTGACCTAGTATTAGTTGTAGATAAGGGTGTGATTATTGAGTCTGGTGATCCTTCTAGCCTGCTGAAGAAAAAAAATGGCGTGCTCAGCAACTTGTTTAGGAAACAATGAAATAATAAAATTATTAAACCAAAGAAAATGAGACACTCAATGGTTTCAACATATAAACATATTAATGTAAATTTGTTAGAAGTATTAGCACAAATGTATTCAAACATTTTAAATAAATTTAAATGTTTTCTAGCGTAGTATAGTCCTTAAAATAATAATATAAATAAACATTCTGGTTGATACACTTTAAACTTTATGATAACGTTAATTACCATATATATGCTAATAATATTTAAACGTACAAAATTTCTGAGTAATCGGTTTTCTAAAATTCTAAAATTTCGTTGTGATACTTTTTTCCATGCACCTACGTGCGCAAGTTATGGTTGCTGCAATGAACTACAATTATTCGAGATTATTATTGTGGAGATTTTATGTAGGGTTAACTCTACAAAATATTGGTATGATAACATCAAGTTTCTGGTGGGGATGAACCTATTGCTAAGCATTTTATCATCCATGTACACGATAACCAAAAACGAAAATTTACCCACACATTAAACTAGGAGTAATTATTTACAATAAAACAACGACGACAACAAACTATTAGCAGGTAGATGCGGAAAGAGCTTACGATGGCACAAATGTCTATTATGTGTACAAAACCGATTTTGAGTAACCTTTTATCTGTTTACCACACAAATAATTGTATCAATTTATATCACTATAACTTATTATTACAAAAATTTTGAAAAAATTCTCAGAAACAACTTTAGTGGGTTGGAAAAAAATATACAAATTTCAGCAAAATCGAAAGGGGTCGAGTTCAAAAGTGGTCGATATATATATGTTTTTTGAGTAATGAAATTATTGTTAAATCAATCGCACTGGAATGTTTTTTAAAAAAATTCACATTCTCATTCTCATGCGTTTAAAAACAACACGATTCCGCGCACTTAATACAAAAATAACTATTTTTAGGAAACAAAATCAGTCTAATGCCTAAAATTTAGGTGAATACAATCCAGAGATCTATAAAAAAATGATTCAGCTTAGAAAGAGCATTTTCAAACATCCTATGTTTCACCTACGTACCTATATAAAAGTGACAAAAAGTTAACCCACTGATAGTGTTATCGTTATCAGTAGTAAATGGGATACCTATAACTGAAAAAATATCTTAAAAATGAAAATTGTTAACTCCAATACTATTCATACAGTCTAAAACCTACCAGGTAATTAAGACAACGAGTTATTTAAATAAAGCTATATGGCTAATGTAACCACTTCCTTCCATTATCAAACTAAAATAATGACAACATTTTTCATGTGTAAGTATCTATAGAGCGGCTATACTTATTCATTATAGTCACATAAAAATGTCCTTAATTGCTGTTTTATTCGACTCCATTTCTAAACACAAAAATTAAAGCATTTTTGTGAGTGGTTGTTTTGCAAACCAAAACGACTAAAGGTGGATACTTTTCAATGGATTTCCTAGGAAAAAAAAAGATTATAATTAATAAAACGTCGAAAAATATTCATCCCAAGGAAGAGGCAAATTTCTTGTCTCATTTTTTGTTCTGGTATGGATATTCCACCGTTTAGCTATATTATATATCTTCAAATTTCAGTTGGCAGCTGAAAACAATTTTGAAGTGTTGGAAAAATGGAGTCACTGACGACAGCTTCATAACACCGATAAGAGATCATGAGACACAACAATTAGGAGACAAACTGGAAGCACTATGGGGTAAAGAAAAAATTTCAAGAAAAAAACCTTCTTTTACCAGAATATTGGCACAATTTTTAGGCATCAAATATGTGCTTTGTGGGTTATTTTTTTGTACAGCAGATACACTATCAATGTAAGCATAAAATCATACCTACAGATAAATTTCAAAAACCTAGTGACATCGACATGACAAAGTTAAAAAACTGCCACAAAAACTAAAATTTGTTGATTCTAACACAAATAATAATAGTAATAATAACCATAAAAATTCTCAATTACGCAGTTTAACAAAACATCTGATAATGACAAAGTTGACATAAAGCGTAATAGAAAACTTAAAATAAAAGCAAAACGCAAATTTCGTAAAAAATAATTTCGAAAAATAGATTATTGTACTTATTTATTGACATTCATTTGGTACTAAATAATAACGTCAAAATACGTGGGTTTAAACTACCAGTGAACGGTACGAGTTTTACAAATTAAAACTGGAACAAATAGACAGTGTTTGTCCTAAAAAAACTGTGTTATGTAAATGATACTGTTACAAACTCTTTCAAACTTGCCGTAAATTTTCAATCCACTCTGATTATATCCCGCAAGTAAAAAGACTAGCAACTATAGTGATATGCGGTTGTCAATTATTTCGGCAGAAACTATCCTCCAGAATGCCTTCATTAGGTTATACTATTATAATTATAAATCACGTTCCAGAATAAGTTCAGTAAATACTATTTTAAGATGTCAACATTGACCAGCTGCCACTAGTAAATTGGAATTTAAACTATCATAATCATTTTTAATACTGTTACATATAGCCATCAGTACACAACTAGCTAGCACTAGCTGTAAATAAATGAGTGTCGGTAAATGAATTTAAGAAAGCAGATATTCACTAAAAATTTGGACTATTGCAGGTTCCTTCAATCTCTATATCTGGGTAAACTATTGGAATATTTCTCACAAAACACAAAACTCACGGCAAAGGAAGCATATATTTATGGACTGGTCGTGGTTTTTTCTATCTTACTTCGAGTGCTAAGTTTCCAGTTCCATTATTTGGAAACTTTCAGCACTGGTTTGAAAATTCGTACATCTTGTTCCTCGTTAATTTATAGAAAGATTGTTAACATGAAATTAGCTACTATACAAAAAAATACTTTGGCACGTATATTAAACTTGTTTTCTACCGACATTGACAAATTTGAAACGGTTTTTTGTTTTTTTCACCGCATGTGGAACGGTATTTTGAAAATCATCGTGGCAATATTGTTGTTTCTTTCCATGTCTAGTTATCAAGGAGTCGTTGGAGTAGGAATAATGGTAATTTTTTCATTTTCTCAATGTTAGTATAATTTTTTATCATTACTTTGGAAGTAACGGACCGATATTTCAGATGTTTTTTACACCAGAGCTGCTGCTCGAGGACAAAAAGTGGCTAGAGAAAGAGACAATCGGATACGTATAATGAACGATATTATTTTTAGAATGAGAGAAATTAAAACGTATGCTTGGGAGAAGCCTTTCGCTGAAATCATAACTAAAATTAGAAGGTTTTAATTTTTAAAATCAAGCCAGTGTTATTAACTTGTTAAATTTTAGATGTGAACTTACCCATGTGAGAAAACTGAATCACATATCAACCGAAAACATTACGATTGCGACGTACATTCACAAAATATCTGTTTACGTGTTTATTTTACTTTTAACAACGACCGGTACGCCTTTAGACCCACACTTGATTTTTATCTCTCTAAACATATACAATTTACTTAAAACATCGGCGCATCATGCAACTGTTGCTGTTAATTTAATATCAGAAGTGAAAGTGTGTATAACCCGTATCGAAATATTTTTGCTATCGGATCACGAAGCAGCTATTGACAAACAAAAAATAGAAGATATGCAAGGTTGTAAAATATATGCTCGTAATTTAACAGCTCAATGGAACCCATCACAAAAGGCGACGATAAAAGACGTTAATTTCAAACTTGGTTGTGGTCAGCTAGTTGCAGTTACCGGAGACACAGGAAGTGGAAAGTCTTCTTTACTCCAAACTCTATTGGAAGAACTAACTATAGTCGACGGAATTCTCTCCCAGGATGGTTTGATGTCTTATGCATCGCAAAATCCTTGGGTGTTTTCGGCAACCATCCAAGAAAACATCGTATTTAATGAAACATTTAACCAGAACAAGTATTTGAACGTTCTTAAAATTTGCGCTTTAGAATATGATATATCTCTTTTTACCCATGGAGATAAAACCTTGGTTGGAGAAAAAGGAGCAATGCTAAGTGGTGGCCAAAAAGCCAGAATTAACTTGGCACGAGCTATATACAAAGATGCAGACATCTATCTTTTAGATAATCCTCTGGCGGCGATGGATGTATGTGTCGCCCAACACATTTTTACCCAATGTATTATGAAATATCTAAAAACGAAAAGTGTTGTACTAATAACACACAATTTAAAATTTCTCAAACATTCCGACAGAGTATATATTCTAGAAGATGGGACGATAAAGTTTTCTGGAGAATATAAAACATTAGAAGAGGCACCAAATAACATACAAGAAGACAGTGACAAAATAGTGACAACACTTTCTGAAAAAAATTATAAAGCCCAAATTGAAACTAAAGAACACACAGGTAGTGATAAAGTCAACACATATACAACATATTTGTTTGCCAATGAAAGCCAGTTCTTCGTCTATCTTCAATTCTTCCTTTTCATTTCAACTCAAATTTTTATAAACGGTTCAGACGTGTTCTTGTCTTTCTGGATCAACCTGAGGCAAAATCCAACTAGATTCAACACAACACTACTACAATACTTTTCCAACGTTAAATGTTTGTACTTTTACAGTGGATTTATTCTAATAATGGTATTTTTGTTTCACGTGAGTTCTTTAAACTTTGTAGAATGCTGTAATAAGTGCTCCGTTAAGTTTCACAATACGTTATTCAACAAAATTCTGTATGGGACTATGAAGTTTTTCGACAATCATCCATCTGGTCGAATTGTCAACAGAATTTCTAGTGATATGAGTGCAATCGATGAGACCATCCCCAAGAATATGTATCAAGTTGCAAGACAAATTTGTACTGTGTTAGGTATTTATATCGTTGTCAATGCAGTAAATTATTACATGATTGCACCAACACTGGTTTTGTTGGTAATTTTTTATTACTATGTGCAAGCTTTCCGACCAGTACTTAACAAACTGAAGAGAATCGCCGCCACACGTAAACTTGTAGCAAAGATCAGGACTATATCTTCCACTTATTTCTTTTTTAGGTAAAAGTCCTATTTATACTCACGTGGTTGCTACCATTGACGGATTAACAACCATCAGAGTTTCAAAAGCCCAAAAACACTCTTTGTCAAAATTCGAACGCTATCAAGATTCCTATACCTCGATAAGATATCTCTATCACGCTTTGCACGCTTCTTATGCATTTTGGACAGATTTCACTTGCATGTTGTACGTAGCCGTTGTTATTTTCTTTCTAATAATCTTCAAAAAGAGCAAGTAATTTAGTAACTGTTGACGGTACTCTCATGCAGCTTTTTTAGGTGATATGGTGGGAAACGTTGGTTTATCCATTACAGAATCGCTCTTAATGATTTCAGCGATACAGTACATGATCAAGATTTATGGTGAACTTGAAACACAGATGACTTCAGTTGAAAGAGTTGCAGAATACGATGACCTAACAGTTGAAGATAATAATAAAAGTGAAATTAATCCTCCTGCCGCATGGCCTGCAGAAGGCAAAATACTATTTCAATCGGTCTCCATGCGATATTCTCCCGAAAAACCGTTTGTCCTCAGAAACATCGATGTGGAATTTCAAGCTGGTGAAAAAATAGGAATCGTTGGAAGAACTGGTGCTGGAAAATCATCCTTGATAAATGCGCTCTTTCACCTATATGAATTCGAAGGAACAATATTAATAGACGACGTCGACATAGAAATGGTTCCTCTTGGCACTCTGAGATCTCGAATAGCGACTGTTCCTCAAGATCCTGTTCTTTTCTCAGGTACCATACGCGAAAATTTAGATCCTTTCAAAGAATTCACGGACTGCCAGTTATGGAGTGCTCTAGAAGAAGTGAATCTAAAACACAGTGTTTCAAATTTACCCTCTGGTTTAAACAGTTCTATTTCGGAAGGCGGGATCAATTTTAGTGCGGGACAGAAACAACTAATGTGTTTAGTTAGAGCCATTTTGAAAAAATGCACAATTATTGTTCTTGACGAAGCAACTGCCTTTCTAGACTTAGACACCGACAAATTAATTCAAGCTACAATTCAGAGGAGATTTCATAAGGCAACGATTTTAAAAATTGCACATAGATTGGACAGTGTGATGAATTCGGACAAGATTTTGGTTTTAGATGATGGTTGTGCTGTGGAATTTGACACCCCAAATGAACTTCTACAAAACGCTAATGGTAATTTTTACAGATACGTCCATGAATATGAAAATTCTTCGTTAATTATGCAGACCCATATATGAAAATTATATTAAAAGGTATTTCTAAACCCAGTTTTTCATTTTATGTTAAGCTGAATTAACGCAGTTTTTTTTTGTAAAGTAATGTATGTATTTATAATTATTTATTGTGCTATTAAAACTATGTTAATAAAAATATTTAACAATATTTAATTAGCGCTTTGGCTTAGATATTGTTCTTTTATTTTTCCCTTGTCAATCTTTTGATTTTGTGATACCTATTATATGTATTGATATTCGCAAAGAATTCTCTTTTTCGAACTAGTGGGCATAAGTATACTTAATAAATGCCACTATAACTCTCCTTTTATGATTAGCTAAGGAAGTATTATTATTATTATTATTATTATTAAGGAATCGATCGGGCAGAGGCTATGCCTGTAATGCCCGCGACAAATTGAATAGTGGCTTTATCTTCAGTATACCTTAGAGATTTTTTGTCGCACAATATGTATCATATTTCGATTTAAAACTTACAGTAGATGAAGCTAGCACTATATGCTTGGGTACCGCGTTCCAACTCTCAAACACTCTATTCGTTAAAAATTTTTGGCGAGCTAAGGTGCAAAACTTCAACTTATGCAACTTTAGAGAATGCCCTCTGGTGCTATCTGAGGTATTGAGAGGAAAGAGATGCCTCATTGGGGAAAGACTATTACTCAAGGCCTGATAAGCAATGATTAGATCCCCTCGTTTGCGCCTGTCTGAAAGAGGGCAGAGATGCATTAGTCTAAGCCGTTCGCAGTAAGGAGGCCGATTTATGACGAACGGAAATCTGGTTGCTCGACGCTGAATGGATTCCAAGCACAAAATGTCTTTTTGAAGGATGGGAGACCAGACACCATTAGCAAACTTTAGCAAAGGCCGCACATATATTTTGAAAAGTTTAGAGAAGACTAATGGACTAGCTTTGGAAAATGTTTTAGTCAGAAGAAAGAGCATTTTATTTGCTTTGCTCGCAACTCGCTGGATGTGCTCAGTCCATGACAAATTAGAGGTGACAACAACACCCAAATCAACGTGCGAATCTGTACATGAAAGAAGTAAGTTGTCAACGAAATAAGCGTATTTGGGGTTATTATTCCCAAGGTGTAGGACTATGCACTTGTCTAAATTCAAAGGTAACATCCAATCATGAGTCCAGTCATATATTGCTCGAAAATCACGTTCTAAATCCCTATAATTCGCACTACTGCATTAAAACTTGATGTCATCTGCGAACATGGCGAAAGGCGAGGTTACGATGCTTTTGATATCGGCAGTATAAACGACAAATAGTAGCGGGCCAAGCACCGAGCCCTGGGGCACCCCAATCACAACATCGACAGATCTACTAAGTCCATCACCGACTTTGACTCGAAATGTTCTATCGCTCAGAAAAGAATTTATCCACCCAAGAAGGTTTCCTCGTATACCAAGATGTTGCAATTTATGAAGGAGCCTGCGTTTCGGAGCCTTGTCAAAAGCTTTTGAAAAATCGAGATATAAAATATCGACAGAGCGACCCAGATCGGTATCCCTAGTCCAGTCTGACAAACATCACAAAAGATTAGATTGGACAGATTTCCCAGGTAAGAAGCCATGCTGTTCAGGTGGAATTAGATTGTAGTTTATGTATAAGAAACTTGACTAAAGGGCCATAGATAATGGATTCCATGACCTTGACTACGAGCGATGTCAAACTCACTGGCCTATAGTTTGATGCATCAAACTTATCACCCTTGTTCTTGTAAATTGGTTTGACAAACGCGGTTTTCCAGTCGGAGGGAAGTCTAGATTGCATGAATGATTGCGCCATTAGAATAGAAAGCGGAGTGGAAAGAGAGGCTGCACAGTTCTTTAAAACGCAGGCGGAAATAAGATCAGGAACTGGAGATTTAGTAATTTTCAACTTTCTGAGCTTATCTGATACCGCGTCCTCAGAGAATTTTATATCATTGATACTATTCGAACTACAAACGCTAGATAAATTAGGCATCCCAGAAAGAGGTTCCACAGTAAACACTTTGGCAAAGGAATCGGCAAATAAATCAGTAACGGTGTAACTGTTATCATTAACCATGCCTGCCGCATCTTAACCTTAACTGTTTTAACTGGACCTGATAAAGTAGTGCGAATATACTTAAAAAGAGTTTTGTTGTCCTTATTCTGTGCAATACGCTTCTCATAATCAAGTCTAGCCTCTCTGATGACAGTCGAAAGATGGTTAGAAAAAGCCCTGTGAGCATTGTAACTCGTTTCGGTCCCTGTTCGTTTAAAAGCTCGCCAAAGTGCTCTCTTTTTGCGTACTAGGTTTAAAATTCTCCCGTTAATCCATGGTTTTGATGAAGATCTTTTAAACGTGGAACTAGTGGTGTACTGTGTGACAGTATCAGATAGTGTTGCTTTAAAGCAATCCCAATTGTTGCTTATCGACAAATCCGAAAGAAGACAATTCCAATCTAGCTTCCCTAAGTGCTTATTCAGGGCTTCAAAATCTATCATCTTCCGTTCAAGCGTGATAGTTCTCCTCCGACGTGTGTAACAAACTTGTAAATCCATCATTAGAACTAAATGATCCGATTTACCAATTGGATTCAAATATTCCAAGTTCGAGATTGAACTGTCATCAGACGTTATAACTAAATCTAGCACAGCTGGTTTTTGGTTCGACCTGAACCTTGTTGGCTGCGTGATCAATTGATCAAGATGACTATTAATCAGCAAATCCACCAAAAGTTGAGAGGAAGAAGAATAGGAACGACTGCCACTGATGGCCCAATCCACATCTGGGAGGTTTAAATCTCCGAAAATATACACTTTGTCATATGAATTCGGTATATTGCTAATCTGATTGAAAAGAGTTATATCATCGTCGAAAAGAGATGTCGATGGTCTATACACACATCCTAGAGGAAAAGTTATGCTGCTGTTAGTCACTTTTAAAAAGAGAGAATCAATACCACCAGCGTTTCCTGCAAGGGGCATAACCGTGAAATTCTTGAGGACCAGATCAGAAATGTAGGCACAAACACCGCCACCCCTTCCAACCCGATCCGATCGAAAAATGGTATATCCATCGAGAGATATTAACGCATCAGTTATAAAAGAAGTCAACCATGTTTCGGACACCATTATAATCGTTGGTTTATATGTGTCAACAAAAGCACAAAAATCGTCAACCTTTGCCATCAAAGATGCCACATTAGTGTATTGTATTGACATTTCATAAATTTCCCGTTTCCGCCTGTTTCACTGCCTGTCTGTCTAGTGTACCGTCTATGTAGATTTTTATTAAACAAATAATCTCCGAAAATACTGCACCGATTGTTGTCAAATTTTATATGTCTGAGGAGTATCATCTCCACAATTTACATTAACAAATATTATACCTAATTAATTTTATAAAGTAAAATACTCCTGGATATGTGGTTTACAAATCCATGTTGAATTTCTTCCCTAATCATCCATTTTACAATTTAACTTTGAAACTCCAAAACCAAATACTCTGAAATCTTGCAAACGTTTTAAACCTCCTTGATGATAAACCATTAATGAAAATTAATTCGTTTATAGCCTCCCCAAATAGTTATTTATGTACCAAGGGCACAAAGAAGATGTTTATATTCGAGGGCAACGTTTACAAAATCGAGGGCCTCTGGCCCGAGATTTTGTAAGTTGCCCGAGATTTATAAACATCAAGTTGTGCCCGTGGTGCATACAAACTTTTATTTTTCACGAGAAAATCTAAAAAAAAAACATTAATTTATATAATTAATTCGTAAAAAAAAATATACGTGGCGTTGATTTTGTTGTCAAGGAGATTTACATTATTGTTTATTGCAAACGGACGTCTATTCACGGTGTCAACACGTATATTTTCGACCGCGGAAATTAATGAGGAAAAGTGTCAAATTCCAGAAAACATTGCAAAGACAGCGCAAAAAAACCAATGAAAATCTGTTACCTGGAACATCAGGATCCATATATGAAAAAGAATACAAAATTTTCCTTAAATGGAAGATTAAAAATTTTGTAAATCGTATCAGCGAGACAGTTATGATGGCTTACTTCTAAGAATTGGTGAGTTATTTAGTTTATAAAATAATTATTTAACTGTGTTCTTCATTATTAGTTAGAAAAATATTCACCCAGTTCCTTATGGTGAAAATACTCGATGGTCAAGACAACTTTAAGAGTAAACGACAACATAGATATTTCTAATTATCATTTGACATATTTCTGTAAAAAACCCAAAAGGTTATGTGGCAAAAAAATCGAGTTTTGACTGGCGAACAAGTCATGCAATTTCTAAAAGATACTTCCGACAACAGATATTTACATCAGAAGGTAAACTAAGTTATTTTTTGATGATTGTAAGTATTTAAATACGAATGTTTTATGCATTAAAGGTAGTTGGAGAATGAGCGAACACAATTCTAGATTTTTATATAATACTTTATTCGGTGCTAGCAGAATGGAAGCAGAGGCAGAAATAATTCCAATAGAGGAACCTGCGAAAGGTTTAAGTTTACCTGAAAAGTTTGGTATGAATAGCAAGTTTGTAAATTGTAATTTGTATCTCCGTTATTAAATAAATTGTCAAAAAATAAATAAGTAGTTAAAAATAAACAATACATTTTTTTATTTTTGGGTTTAGCAAAATAGGACATAATGAGAGGGCATAATAACTCTTTATGCCCGCTCATTGTGCCCCGGATGTAATATGCCGCTTTATGTTTATCAAATCATGGATATAAAACAAATATTATATACGAGTGAAAAATAAAAATAGTTAAGTCAGTTTAGAATGTTGCCGTTGTTGCGAAATGTATTTCGTACGATGTCCACTGGTACGGATCTTATCAAAATTTGCCCCATATTTTCCAAACATTATGAAATTATGATAATTTGACCTTACGCTCATCGTTAAAACTGACTTAATCGACTATTTTTGCTTTTTTATATGACCATTATTTTACTATAATAATACAGTCAATTGCTTCAGCCTATCACACTTACATGAAAGTGGCTCTATATATAAGTATATTCAAATATTATTCACACTTTAATCAGCAAATTGTAAGCTGGTAAAAACTAAAATAATCGTAGTTACGGTCTTTAGACGTCTGCACCTACACAACTTTTATCTAAGGCTTTCGGAATTTGGGATTACTTAACGATAAACAATATATTTTCCAAAACGATAGTACCTACCTAACTATTGAAACTATTTTCTATAAAACTTAAATGGACTACTACAAAACAAACAAAAAATCAATTAATCCGGAGAAAAACAGACACTGGTTTTGGAATTTATTTTTTTTGTAAGTTAACAATTAACTCCAAAAAAAAAACTTGAACTATGTGCGTAATTACGAATTTTAGATATACAAAGAATACATTCATTAAGGGTTATAGAACAGACCTGACTCAAAATGATATATATGAAGTGCTTCCCGAACATAAGTCAAAAACATTAGGAGATAAATTAGAAAAGGAGTGGAAGAAACAAATGGATGAAAATAAGACATCTATACCTAAACTCCTTTGGAAATGTTTTGGCAGACAATATCTTTTAATAATACTCAGCTTGGTCATCCCAGTGACAATAACGTATATACGATAACGCTTATAATTGCACCTCGCTTTTAATCATTTGTTTAGGTTCTTGCAACCAAAGATACTAAAAAAATTCATCTCATATTTTACACCAGGACACAATAATCTAAGCAGAACTGATGCGAGCTTGTATGGACTATTATTGATCGTAGTTACGGTTGTAAGTCGTCTGCACGTACACAACTTTTATCTAAGGCTTTCGGAATTTGGGATTAAAATGCGTGCTGGATTCACATCTTTAATATACAGACAACTTTTAAAAATGAACCCGTCAGTAGTTCAAAGTGGCAAGATGATAAATCTGATAACGAGAGATGTGAGTGAATTTGAAGAAGCTGTATCTAAAATTACAAACATGATAAAAGATCTAACCAAGATTGTGGCAGTATGTTGGGTCCTATATTCAGAAATTGGATGGTTATTTCTCATAATTCCCACAATAATTTTTATCAGCATGTTCGTCAATTGTAAGCAGGCAAAAACAAAAATAATCATTTATACTTTAAATTTTTTCAGCATGCATAGCAGCTTTAGTGCATAAACTTAAACTGAAATCTTTGAGGAAAACTGATGAAAGATATCAAATAATAAAAGAAGCACTAAGTGCAATAAAAGTCATCAAAATGAATCTTTGGGAGGAAAGTTATGAAAAGAAAATTGCTAAAATCAGAAAGTAAGGTGGTAAACAAATGATTGATTGTATGTTTTTCTTCTGTATTTACAGTAAAGAAATTCAGCTTATACGCAACATAAATATATTATTATTTCTAAAATTGGTACTATCTGAAACATTTCACAACGCGTCGTGGTACATAGTTGTAGCAATATCCATATGGTTCAACATTCAATCAACTGCCGGGACATTATTTCTTATAATAAACAGTCTAACTATAGTTTCATATGGCACGAAAGGCAATTTTCCAAGAGCGATACATGAAATAGCTACTTTAATTGCCGTATTTAAACGGATTGGACAAACACTGCGAATTAAGAGTGATGAATCATTCGCGGAAGACAATAAGCTTTCAGCCAGAATCAACTTGAATTTAAAAATTCATACTGCACATAACCACACACTAATAAATTTGAAAAAGTGTAACATTGCAGGAGGAATAACAGCAGTAACAGGACCTATTGGCAGTGGCAAAAGTCTTCTGTTGAAAGTCCTGACAAAAGAATACAAAAATGTAGAAGGCGATTTAGAAGTCGTCGGCAGCATTTCTTACGCATCTCAAGAACCCTGGCTTTTTCCATCGACCATCAAACAAAACATCTTATTTGGAAGTGGTTACGACGAACATCGTTACTTAGAAGTTTTACGAGTTTGTGCTCTACTTGAAGATCTACGTTCTTTAAGCGATGGTGATTCTGCTCTTGTAACTGACGGAGGAGCTAATCTAAGTAAAGGACAACAAGCTAGAATAAATTTAGCACGAGCTGTTTATAAACAACGTGATATATATTTATTAGATGATTGTCTGAGTAGTTTGGATGCGATTGTTGCAGATTTTGTATTTGAACAGTGCATTAAAACTTTTTTGAAAGACAAAATAGTGATCTTGATTACTCCATCCATTAAGTACGCCAATAAGTCAGACAACGTCATAACAATGAGAAACGGTCAAATGCAAAACTCGCATTCCATCCAGTGTAACACCCCAAAAAGTGCGGAAACTAAAAGTATGAAATATTTTCAAGAAGATAAAGCAAAGAGTGAAAAGGAAGAGTCAACTGCGCAAGAAAACTTTGACGATGAAACCCTACTGATTAAAAACAACATAGAGATCAAAGAACTATACACAGAAACGAAAGTAAAAGGAAAGGTCCAATTCGAAGCTTACAAAAAGTATATTAAAGAAAACGGAGGCATGGTCAAAATTTTTTTAGTTTTACTTCTCACTGGAATAATTCAGTTTCTGAAAAGTGCCATTAATCAAATGGAATCCGTTTGGTAAGACTAAAATTTGATAATTTCCACCCATTGACTTGAACTTGTAGGATAAATGCGGAACAAGTATTATTTAACAATGCCACCGACAAGGAAATCTACACTGAGGCAAATGAAAAACGTCACCAAATGGTAATTTTTCTACCTATAGTTATTTCAACTGCGACCGTAGTAATGTCATTAAATACATACATTTTCTGGGTGCTTGCTGCCAAAGCTTCACTAAAAATTCACAATTTACTTTTCGCTAAAGTGGTTCACAGTTTTATGCAATTCTTTGACAAAAATCGAATAGGAATTATTTTGAACAGATTTTCAGAAGACATACTGTACATCGATGAAATGCTACCCTTGACGTTTTTTCTACTAATGGGCGTAAATAGATTAACTTTATAAAGTGACTTATAATATTCCTAAATTTTAGTATTTTGCCGGAACAGTTGGAGTTATTATTCTCATAGCTACAATTAATGCATGGTTCCTTATTCCATGTATTCTGATTAATGTATTCTTGGTTTGCGTACAAATATTCTATTTAAAAATTGGAAATGCTTTAAAACGACTGGAATTCTTAAGTAAGCATATTATCAAAACTCTTTAAAATGATAACCCTTATTATGGTAGCACGAAGTCCACTAATTCGCTACATCAATGCTACTTTAGACGGATTAACAACAATAAGGACCTCAAAAATCCAAGATACATTGCGACAAGAATTTGATCAACATCAAGATTTGCACACTTCGTGTTCTTACATGTACACATGTTGTGAGACAGCTTATCACATGGTGCTAGCAGCCGACGAAACAATTCTCCTTACTTTCGCAATAATTCTTTTTTTAGGACTAGATGACAGTAAACTGAAATCTTGAGAGCCAAGTGATACTAATAAACAACATTTTTTTAGAAATGGCAGCAGGAAAAGTTGGACTTGTTTTGTCGCAAATATTTAGTTTGGGAGTTTCAGAGCATTGCTTTTATCGCATGATCACTAGATTTGAGAATCAAATGATAACAGTAGAAAGAGTTTTGGAATACACTAAACAAAAACAAGAAAACAAAGATGGTTTAGTAATGGAACATTGGCCAAAGGAATGTGAAATACGATTCAAGGACGTGTCGCTTTCTTACAAGAGCGACCAAGACGATGTTTTAAAACAATTAAATTTCGCCATCAAAAATAAGCAAAAAGTTGCCCTCGTTGGTAGGACTGCTTCAGGAAAAACATCTTTGATTTCTGCACTCGTCCGACTTTACGATTTCGAAGGAAACATTTTTATTGACAACGTAGACATCAAAACACTTCCAGTGGATTTCCTCAGGTCAAAAATATCTGTAGTTCCACAAGAACCTACTATATTTTCGGGAACGTTACGTGAAAATATTGATCCGAGAGGGCAACATTCAGACGATGATATTTGGAAAGCTATTTCAACCGTGAATTTGTCACTCTTTCAAAATTTGGATGAGAAACTTGACATGAATATAAGCATTTGTCAAAAACAACTCATTTGTGTGTGTAGAGCTTTGATTCGGCGTAACAAAATCGTAATTTTTGACGAAAGTAATGCCAGTGTCGATTCCGATACTGAAGTTTTGATACAAAAAGTAATATCAGAAGTTTTTGCTGAATGTACAGTCATCGCAATTATGCACAAATTGCGTTACATTTTAGATTTTGACCTAGTATTAGTTCTAGATAAGGGTGTAATTATTGAGTCTGGTCATCCGTCTAGCTTGCTGAAGAAAAAAAATGGCATGCTTAGCAACTTGTTTAAAAGACAATAAAAAATAAAATTATAAAAGCGGAAAATGGATATATGTTAATTAATTAATAGAATTACTCACTAGGTAATAGGTAAATTTAAAATGTTTGAAATAAATCATGTTATACCTTCTTTGTGCAATATCATCAAATTTTTGCTGGGGATGAATAGACAAGTTTTCGCGTTTTACCACGAACTTTTTGAAAGTTTGATTTGATAACTCGAGAAGAACAATTCGATTTTTCATCCATTTCCTCGAGAAAGTTAAAGACATAATTGCAAAAATTTATTAAATAAATAAAGTAAAAAATATGCTGCGTTTATGAAACTCAGTTTGTTTTATCCCAATGGTGCGCATTTTTCAATAATAAACATTGCACAATATATTAAAATATTTCCTTTGTTAGTGATTAAGAATTTAACTAATCCAAACTTTGAATTAGAACAAGAAAACATTTGTTTACCACAGAAGCCACATTTTCCTATAAAATTTAGACACTGTCATACAGCGTGATTCATCATAAATGACGAATTTGACCTATCCCGATAAGCACTCCAAAATTTAGTTTTCAGTTTACTTCTATTAATAATAATAGTAATAGATTTATTTCCAACAGGCATGGCACCCAATTACAGGAAATTAAATATACAATATATAAAAATTAAGTGTAAGTAGAAAGTACAAAGTAAAATAACAAAAACAAAAATAATTAATTCCACTACTATAAAAAGAGAAAGAAGGTTTCAAAATAACTAGTACTTTAAACAATAAATAATACACTGTGAAATAAATTTGAAGGATAAGAATCACTGGAGACCAAATTAATACGTTAGTTCGGCACGGATCATAATAGTACAAAGCCCTATTTCTACTATTTAATCTAGTACTAAGAATACAGTTTTGTTCATCAAGTAAATGCAGTCAGTTTTGTTATTCATCAGTCCGTATAACAGTTTAATGCTGCTTATGGTACAAACAAAAAGCCAAACAAATTGAGTTTACGATGTTACAAAAATTGAGGCCCAATCAACCTTTATTTGCAGATTATTGGACTCTTCGTTTCTTATATTAAAATTTGTAGGATGTGTAGACGCTTTTAAAGAATTCACCAAATGCATTAACAATATCTTACGGTGTTTCAAGTTCTTGAGCTAGATGTCTCATGAGTCCTGGGATTCTAGAGTTTCCTTTTCCGGATTGAATATACGTCCAAAATTTTTTGGGGTCTGATGAGATTGACCACTGTATTTCGTTTAGATACCGGAGGTAACCATTGTAAATTATAGATTTGAATTTAGATCTATAATATTTAAAACGGTCATAATAGTATTGGGTTTTAAATCTTTTAAATTAAGTTATGTAAAGTTGATTTTAGTCGAATTGTTTCAATAATTTCCGCATCAACGACAACGTGACCGTGAAAATTTGTTTTGTTGTTTTTCAAACCACATAGTTTTGATATTTTTAAATTTCTAGTGTGAATCAAGGACTAAAGAAACAATATTTTTATGGTTGCCGCTAACACCAATCACATTCGTCACTTACGGTGAATCACCCTATATGTATAACGCTGACAAAAAATTAACACACTGACAGTGTTATCGATAGTACCGATAGTAAATGTGTAATAGCGGAAAAATAGAGCTAAATGGCGAAGCTTGTTAAGTCCAATGTCACTCATACAATTTAAAAGCTAGCGTCAATTAAGACAACAAGTTACTTAAATGAAGTCTCTAACGAATGCAAGCATTGTGCTACATTACCATATGTAAGTATATAATTCTACACTCGTTCCTTTAAGAGTCACATAATTTTTTTTCTTTACTACTGAACCCCGCTGTTTTATTAGACCTCACTTCTAAACCAAATCATTAAAGCATTTTTGTACCAATGTTGTAAACTAAAACGACTAATGGATTCACCAAAAACAAAAAAGATCACAATTAATAAAACACCGAAATATGTTCATCCCAAGGAGAAGGCAGATTTCTTGTCTCACTTTTTATTCTGGTACAGATTTTCCACCGGTTTTCCAACGGCAGTTAAAAACAATTTTAGAGTGTTGGAAAAATGGGGTAACTGACGACAGCTTCACGACGCCGATAAGAGATCATGAGGCACAACTGTTAGGAGACAGACTGGAAGCACTATGGAATAAAGAAAATATTTCAAGAAAAAAATCGTCTTTTATCAGAACATTGGCACAATTTTTAGGTATCAAATATGTGCTTTTTGGTTTACTTTTTTCTATAGCCGATACATGATCAGTGTAAGTATAAAACATACATATAGATCCTTTGTGAATACCTAGTGACGTAAAACATTACCCTATGTTTAAACATGACCTCATATATCATTCACAGTGACATAATAAAAATACACGCCCAGAAAAACTATCAGAAAAACTAAAATTTAACTAGAATTTTCCAATACACTGTTCGACATGGTTCGAAATATCGACGTCGACATACTTGGTTCTAAACAATTAGTTACCCGTGCGGGTTCTTGCAAATTAACACCAGAACAATTAGATGCTGTGTGTATTATAAAAAAAAAACTGTAACGGTAAAAAGGCTAGTACTATTGTGATATTGCGGTTGTCCATTACTTCGCTGGAAACTGATCTCTTCGGTTGACTCGGTGTGGAGCGGACGTGTGCTGCTCGCTTGCCTGTTTTGCTTCAACATAAGAAGGTATTTTTACATGAAATATTTTGAATATTTTAAATATGTGGAATTAATTGAGTATGTGAGCCTGCCATTAGTGTCTCTGTGAATCAGAAACGTATAATTGTTGTACGTCTTTTGGCGATTGGTGACATTCTCCGAAATCTACTTTACGGTTATCTTTAAATTTTTTCTCTGCTATCAGCACGTTAACCTATCTCGTTATCGCGTGTCCACTGAACTTTTTATGTATCAAATATGTCTGAACTCGATATACGGACGGGGGAGGATGATATTCCTTTACCTTGTAAGAAATGTAAAACCATGCCTGCGAGTGGTTATAGATGTATTCGTTGCAACTCATTAAGTCATCCTAGTTGCGTGAAACTTCTTAAGAATGTTAAATACATAGATAACTTTACTATTATCTGTTGTAGTGAAAACAATGATGCGAAAATAAAAAGTGCCAGTGTTGTTTTATCCATGGCCTCGCATCAAATTGGAAATATTTCTCCTATTAATAGCTGTTCTACCCAGAACTTTACACTTTCAGATGTTAAAAGCATAATTGAAACTGCAATTACTCCTCTTTGGCATGAAGTCGTTTCTCTTAGAAATGAGATAAAAATTTTAAGAAGTAGCAACATCGATCTTATTAATCTACTTGCTAAGGATATACCTAAAGGTACTAATGTCACTACTGATGCTGACAATGCGTATTCACTAAATATTGGAAAGGAATATTGCAATGATTCTGAAAAAGGTAAAAATCCTAAAAAAGACAAGGAAGAAAGACAAGTAAGTAGACGTCATAAAAATAAAAATAGGTGTGATAATATCAATTTGTTATCCGTTGAAGTACTTGAAAAAGACACCAATCCTCTTTCTTCCTTTGGTGTTGGCAATATAACTGATAAATTGCCTTCTTAAACCCAACAAGATAAAAATCTCAAATTTGATAATGTTAAACTAAATCCTGCTCCCAATCGTGATAATTTCTCTTCCGAACACGAAAATTCTAACCCGAAAAATGAAAGAAATCTTCAATCTAAATTTTCTAGGAACAACAATGTGTTGACTGGTGCCAGATCCAAAATAATTCCCTTAGAGAGGTCTTGTTGGATCTATGTTTCTAATCTTAGTCCTGATCAAACTACTGATGATATATCGGATGTCCTCAGTGAATTAGATCAAGATTCAAAGTTTGAAGTCGAAAAACCACCTCGTCTAAATGGAAGGAAACGTCTAGTGCCTTTACTATTAGAGCGCCTATTAGATTTCAAAAAACTCTTCTTGATCCAAATTTTTGGCCAGCAAATACTTACGTATGTTAACCGATATTTTTTCTCAAAAAACAAAGAAAACCTTCCTACTCAAACCTCACAGGTAACTACAATCTAAACTCTAAATCCTTAAATTCGTCTTCGAATCTACTACCTATAGAGTTTGCTCATATTAATGTACAGTCTTTGCGAAATAAATTTCATGAATTCAAAAATTATGTACTTGAAAATAATTTCACTGCAATTGCCGTTTCTGAAACGTGGCTCGATTGTAGTAATGATAACAATAGTTTTCTACTACCTAACTATAATTTTGTACGTAGAGATCGTTTAAATAGGGGAGGTGGTGTCGCCTTATATATTTCCTCTGCATTGAAATATTGCGTTCTTGATCCTCCTATTGATGATTCTTCAGGCTTAGAGTATTTGATTGTTAAATTGACTATTAAAACACTGCATCTTGTCGTAGGGGTATTTTAGAAACCTCCTCATATAAATTACTCATGTTTCTCGGTGTTAGAAGATGTTTTTAATTTTTTCAGCATCAATAATCTTTCTCACTACTTATTACTGGGTGATTTTAACATTGATTTGTTGACTTCAACTACTGCCAGTAAATTTTTACTTCACACAACTACCATTTACGGATGCGTTCAATTAATTAATTCTCCAACAAGAGTAACCATTCATAGTGAAACCCTGCTAGAACCTATATTTGTTAGTAAATATATCCCTGTATTAAACTCAGGAGTATCTGATTTTTGTATTGCGGATCACAACGCTGTTACTTGCCAACTCAATTTATATATGGAAAAGCAAAAACCTTATTCTAGAATCAGTCGCTCTTTCAAAAATTTCAACCTTGAATTCTTTAATAGAGATGCATCCACTATTGACTGGAATTACGTATACACGTTACCTGATGTTGACTCAAAAATCGAATGGTTAAATGAATCAATTCTTTTGCATGCTCCGCTGCAAGCAGTAAAAATTTCCAGTAGAAAACAACCTTGGTTCACTGAAATACTTGACTTAATCCGAAAATTAAAGTGTAAAGCATGGCTTCGCTACAAAAATACCAGAAATTTAACTCACAAAAAATATTTCTGTCAGCTGAGAAACTATTACAATACTGCATTACTCAATGAAAAGAAGACATATTTCCATTACAAATTCAATAAGTATGGGAATAACAATAAAAATATGTGGCGGGAAATAAAATCTTTGGGTATTGTTGGTTCAAACAGTAAACTTCCCTCTGACTTAACTGATGTGGAGGCAATTAATAAACATTTTCTCTCAATTGTTTCTAATAACCTCACTCCTGACCCTAATTATAAAGCTTCTTTTTTGTCTGGTTCATTCTCGTCTCAATATCTTACGTACAAGCCAGTTGATGAACAAACCATTAGTCATGTAATTAATAAATTAAAACCAAATGTGGCCGGAATTGATGAAATATCAGGGAAGATGCTACAAATTAGTTTCGACTGGATTCTGCGTCCATTAACGCATATTATCAATTTCTCGTTCGAGCAAGGACTTGTTCCTAAATTGTGGCACCTTTCTGTCGTCACCCCAATTCCTAAAAAATCTGACCCCAAATCCTTAAATGATTTGAGACCCATCAGTCTACTATGTAATACCTTTAAGGTTGCTGAATCGATTTTCTTGGAACAAATGAAGGAGCATTTCAATGAGTTGGCCATTATACCTAATGTTCAATCAGGGTTTCGAAAAAATTATAGTACATCCGCTCTTCTGTCTTCTCTAACAGATGATATTTTAAATGGTTTTGATAATGGTCACATTACATCTCTTACACTTTTAGATATGTCAAAAGCCTTCGACAGTTTGGACATAGATCTGCTTTCAGTTAAACTGGCGTACTATGGTGTTACAGGGCAATCCATGGTGTGGATGCAAAACTATTGTTCATTATGAAAATAATTTCTCTTCTTCTCTTGATCTGTTGTCTGGCGTTCCTCAAGGCTCAATACTGGGGCCCTTTCTTTTTTCCGTTTACACTGCAGACTTACCAGATGTAGTAAAATCCTGTTCTATTCATATGTATGCGGATGATATACAAATTTATTACACTTTTCCTCCTGATTCTGCTTTTATGTCGTCCAACCTTATCAACCTGGATTTGAACAATATCCATCTGTGGTGTCAGGAAAACTGCCTGGGATTAAATTTTGCGAAATGTGAAACTATAGTTTTTGGTACTGCTGCCAAGTTGAACCAGTCTAGAGATCTAGTCTCTGTAGTAATAGGTGATAACGTACTCAAACCACAAATTTCTGTAAAAAGTCTGGGTGTCATCCTTGATCAGCAACTAAAATTTGTTGATCATGTTGACTTCATTTGTAGGAAAACTTTTGTCTCCTTGAAACAAATCTCCTATCTTAGAAGTTTTCTAAACACGAATACTAAAAAACTCTTGTCTGATGCACTAGATATCCCATTTAAATTATGCTGACGTGGTTTATGGCCCTTGCCTT